TTCATAGGTCTTTTGGGTATCTCTACAATAGACGCCGTTGTCGGAACATCTTCAACTATAAATACTTTCTTAGTAGCAGGCGCTGTGACTGGGCGCTTAAAGGACTTCGAGTTTAGGAACGTGTAATGATTTGTATTTGGAACTCGTGACAGTTACGTGCTTGCCTGCTCGTGTACATCCTCATGGCTACAACCATTGTTCCACGAGTATTCCAGCTAGAAGCCATTCTTGCAACATTGAATGGCCATGACAGCATAATTACATGCAGACGCATCCACTCGAGGACACATGCCTGGCTTCGCGGATCCTCCCACAGAAAGTCTAGCACTTTTTCCAACCTCCCCGTACCCAAATTCTTCTCCATCACAGAAGGAACATAAAAATGGTCACGACAAGTCGCATAAGATGCTGTAGCAGATAGCTCAGTGACGTACAAAGTCAACTAGTTATATTGGTATACCTGTAGCAGATAGCTACACATGTTGTTAGTTAAGTAGATACTGAATACTATGATGGTACTAACCTCAGCGACGTATGAAGTCAACTGAGGATAGCACAAGGCGCGGGAACAAGCGAGAATATATAGGTACGAGGTAGACGATCGGTACCGAGTGTCCATGATGAAGGTTTGATAATCCAACACTCCCCCTCAAACTGAGCGAAGTCCAAGGGCAGAGGCAAAGTGTTTAACCTTTAAACTAGGAAGAGCTTTAGTAAGTGTATCCGTGACCATACTGTCTGTAGGGCAATAAACGATTGAGATAGAACCTTTATCAACAGAGAAACGAATGAAATGGTAACATATATCTATATGCTTAGTCCGGGCGTGAAACACCCCGGACTGAGCAAGCGCGATGGCGGACTGATTATCGCAATGGAGGACGGTAGGTTGTGCGAGTAGGTGAAAGACTTTGCTGACGAAGTGTCGGAGCCAGATGGCTTCTTTGGCAGTGTGCGTTGCTGCGACGTACTCTGCCTCCGTCATCGAAAGAGTCACGAGCTCTTGTTTCTTCGATCCCCAGGATACTGCCCCGCCGTCCAACAGGAACACATATCCAGACACCGCATGTCTGTGTTCCTGCAACATGCCGTCTGCCTCTGAGAACCCTTCCAGCCCTTGCCTGCAACTACCGAAGGTGAGTGCGAGTTTCTTCGTACCGACGAGGTAACGATAGATGTGCTTGACAGCATCCCAGTGCGCCATCCCCGGATTCGCGCCGAATTGCGCGATGGTCGATACGGTGAACACAATGTCGGGTCGTGTGCCGACAGCTAGGTGCATCAGCGAGCCTACGGCTTCGCGATACAGGATGTTCTTCATGAGGGTGGCGTCAGCGGGCGTTTTGGGAGATTGCGAGAGGGACAATGGTGCATTTGGGTCCATAGGAATGGAGCAGGGCTTGAAGTCGGTGAAATTGTACTTAGCTAGAATGGATTCAATGTACGTCTCATGCGAGAATGAGATGGTGCGTGTGACACAGTCGCGCGTCACCTTCATGCCGAGAAGAGATGCGACTGGGCCAAGGTCCATGAGTTTGTAGCATGCAGCTACTTGCTGCTTGAGCTCGGCGATGAGCATGCGGTTACTGCCAGTGACGGTGCAGTCGTCAACATGAGCAGCGAGGATGAGGATGTCGGGGCCAACGTGTTTGTAAAACACGCCCCAGTCCGATTCTGCGTGCATTAGTCCTAAGTCTGTGAGGAGACGACATAACTGTTGGTACCATTTGAGAGCTCCCTGCTTGGAGCCATAAAGTGCGATGTGTAGGCGCGCAACGGGATGTTTGAAGGGTGAGTCGATGTTAAGTCCAGGAGGTAGTTGCATGAAGATGACCTCGTTGGGGTCTAGTTTGCCATTGAGAAACGTGCTATGGAAATTGAAGACGTCAATATCCCAGTCATTGCACGCAGCAATTGCCGTGATGGTTCGGAGTGATGCCAGACGTGCGACAGGCGCATACGTGTCATAATAATCGACACTGTAGATCTGTGAGTAGCCCTTGGCTACTAGCTGGGCCTTATACTTATCTATCTCTCTGTCCGTGTTTTTCTTAATGCGGAAAACCCACTTGCACCCTATGACATTCACTCCTTCTGGCTTCTCTACTATAGACCACGTACCGGCATCTTTAAGTGTGGTAAGTTCCTTGTGCACAGCATTGTCCCATTTCGGTCGATCGTTTCTTCTTCTAGCCTCTTCCAGCATTGTGGGATCCATCCCTTCAACGTCCTCTACTCCGGCGACCATTGTGAAAATCTCTTTGTTGTCCTCGTCAAGCTCGCCGTACTCACTGCCCACGCCCAGCTCAATGGCCAGATGGCTGTACTCCCCCGCAGGTCGCATGCCTTGAGGTAAGTCTGTACTTTTGCCGTCAGTAGTACCTGCACCTTCTCTCAGACTTTTGATGTACGCAGATTCTACTCTCATTTGGCCGGATCATCGTGGTGGCACTGGAGCTTTGAAGTGTGGACCTAGGTGGTCAGTAGGAGGAGGTTTGGTCGCTGAGGGTGGTGATGGACTGGTGAGTTTTGAACCGACATCATCGATTCGTGCCATGTTGCTAACTGATACTTTCCTGGATGAACCGACATCATCGATTCGTACCGTGCAGTCTGCCGGTATGTTTCCTCCTTCTACAGGTACCACTACCTCTGCCATGTCGAATATGACACTTCTTTTGACGGCAACCCTTCTGGACTTGGGGAGGTAGACATGTTGGGCTTCTTCTTGAACAACACCTCATACGGCGTAATGCCATTCAGCGCCCGGGTGGCCGTTCTATTTTTCAGCCAGGTGACATGCATTATGGCCTCCCCCCACAAGAACTTGGGGAGTCCGCTGGCATGTAGGAGCGCGTGCGTACGCTCTACGAGCGTATGGTTCTGATGTTCGGCTAAGCTGTTATGCTCTGGGGTGTCGTGAACGGTGAGTTTTCTCTCAGTGCCTTTGCTGCGAAGATGATGTGAAAACTGTTCTCCAGTGAATTCTCCCCCTCAATCTGAACGCAGCTTCTTGACCTTAGCGTCAATCTGTGTGTTTGCCCAAGACTCAAACATCTTGTAGGCGTCAAATGCTTCATCCTTTGTTCAAAGGAGATACAGGTGCGTGAATCGAGTATGGTCATCTGTGAATGACACGAAATACTCTGTATGTCCAGGAGTTTGCACTGGGGAGGGTCCCCAAAGGTCCATATGGACTTCATCGCCGAATTTCTCGTGATGTGGAGGATCACGAACATTCCCAATGGCTTTTCAAGTGGCCTTTGCATACTCGCATGAGTCGCATTTGTCCAAGGTGAGTTCTGATGGATCTAGTGTGATTCCAGTAATGACACCATCCTTTAGCATGCGCTTGATGCTGTCGGGAGCGACGTGGCCTAATCTGGCATGAATGTCACACATAGTGAGTGTTTCTTTAGCGCTTGCTGCTCCTGCAAACGGCTTCTTTGGGCCCTTGATGCAGTACAAACCCTTATTGACTGGTATTTGTCCTAACAGCTTCTTTTGCGCATCAAAAATCTTGCACGCGTCTTCGCGAAAGAGCGCTGCATATCCGGCACTGGCTAGTCTGCTGATTGAGACCAATGTGAGTCCCATCTTTGGTGCGTACAGCACATCTTTCAGCAGTATTCTCGTTTGAGACTGACCATTCGGCAGGGTGATTCGTATATTTCCCTTGCCTATGGCCTCGAAGGTATGTCTGTCTGCTGTGGTAATGGGTTTTGGCGTTATACTAATGAAATCTTTGAACAGATCTTGATAAGATGACATGTGCCTGGAGGCGCCAGAGTCAAACAGCTTCGTTTTGGATTTGCGTGAGGAGTTGGGGCTAGATACGGTTGCAAAGGTGAATGTCGTTTGTTCTGCTGTTTCGTTTGTATCGTGTGCTAACCAGACGCCTTCAGGTTCGTTGTCGTTTGCCTTGTCTTTGGCGCTGGCAGCTGTTTCGGATTTCTTGTCCTTGCCTTTCCAGTCTGATCTCCCTTTGCCACTTGCTCCCCCGCCGCCAGGGCCTCTGCAATCCTTTTGCATGTGCCCGTACTTGCTGCAGTTATGGTAGTTCCCTTTGATCTTTCGAGTATGCTGACCCACATTTGCATTATAGGCTGTGTCATCGCTCGAAGATCCAGCCTTTTTCGACTTCGACGCTCAATGATCGTACTCGTCAACGATGGTCAATATCAATACATCCGAGGTGAGCTTAATGCTCAATACTTTTGCTGACGCTGTCAGCGCAGATAGATGTGGGTTGTAGGACGCTGGGAGCGAGCTCATGATCATGGCCGTGAAGCTTTCGTCCGAAGGTGCATGGCCTAACGACGACAACTGTTCTTTTACGGTGCGCATCTTGTCGAAGTGCTCACGTATGTTGCCCTTTTCGGGGCATTTTAGGTCCTGCAACTTGCGCAATAGCTCGACAGAGACTACATGCGAGTGTTGCTCAAATAGACTCGAAAGGTGCGTAAAAATATCTTTAGCTGTGTCGAGATTTTTGATTTGGATGAATAGGGAATTGGGAATTGTTCCCACAATTTGTTGCTTTGTGATTGCTTGGCCCGTGCGCCAGTCTTTCAATTCTGTTTTGTACATGCTGACCTCCTTTACTTCATCAGGGGTTGCTGGTGTCCAGGATGGTCCACGATTAGGAAAGGTCTGTGGGTCGGTTGGTTTTTGCTCCGTGCTGTCCAAGTGGCCGAGCAATCCACAAGCATCTATCGACCATTGTAGACGCTCCTTATACATCATCCAATTTTCCCCATCAGCAGCTAGCTTCGGGATCCGGAGAAAGTCTTCTCCCAGTTTTCCATTTGAAACGGACATTGTGAGTCTTTTTCTTCACATGCCTAATTTGAAATTTTACTGTGCGTGTCCAGGGCTCATAACCTGCAGCAGATAGCTCAGCGACGTACAAAGTCAACTAGTTATATTGGTATACCTGTAGCAGATAGCTACACATGTTGTTAGTTAAGTAGATGCTGAATACTATGATGGTACTAACCTCAGCGATGTATGAAGTCAACTGAGGATAGCACAAGGTGCGGGAACAAGCGAGAATATATAGGTATGAGGTAGACGATCGGTACCGAGTGTCCATGATGAAGGTTTGATAATCCAACAGATGCATCAGCAGGGTCCAGTATTGTGATGAGGAAGTCTAGGATAGATATGCAACCATCCCGCAGTGTTTGGAGTGCGCTGTTGATCTGATCGTGAGTAGACATCCAGTTTCGTCTGGTACCCAGTGTAGGGATTGATGCTGGAGATCCCATGGTAATGTCGACAAAGCCAGAGTCCATGGAGCGATTTAGATCAGTCTCAACAAGTATCAAGAGGTCTCCATCACATTCGAGCCATCCTTGAGACATCCTGGAATCCTTCCGAGTCGAGAAGAGCTTGAAAGTTAGGACCACTAGACACAGTGAAAAAAGATTGATTTAAAGCAGAATACATAATTAGAGCACATCTCAAATGTTAGGCTGCCCCGCAGCAGTTGGAATAAAAGCTGATCACTGCTGGAGATGATGAGTGACGTCACATAGAACAACAATACTTGTAATGTATGATTGAATAACTTAGCAGACTTATCTAAGCAATGTCTAAGTCCCGAACAGGGTTTTCCGTCATGTGACGACTCCAAAGCACGCACTATCCAAATTCAAACCCAGATTTACCAGTCCCTCTATTGATGGTTTGCCTCATAGAGGGGCTGGTCACCAGTCTAATAAGACATATTTTGCAGATGAAACACATCATGCAGGCTGTAGGGCACCATACGAGGAAGCATAAACTGTGTTGATTGTCGTAGATGAGTACTACTACTAGTACCAGATTATAAAATGATATTGACATCCTCAAAATCACTGCCTGCACTCACATCACCATGAACAAACTCACCCATCCCAATCATGGCTCACTGTGCCAGCATATCTTCGAGCTCTTTATGAGAATAAGCCCATTCTGAGGTGAAATTCATCCATGTTCTTCAGCGCCTTCTTGCTACTGCTATAGTAAAATGCCAGGCAACCATCCATAAGAGCTTGTGACACAAAATTTTTCCATTCGCCCTTGGATGAGTGACCCTGGCACCAGTCATAGTAGTGATGTTTGTTTTGTCGGAAGACAGTACAGTCCCAAGGATTGTAGTGCCTCTAGGCAGTTAGCTCTGCAAAATCTAGGATGAGATGGTGCGAATTATAGAGTTTTGGATGCATGTACCTGGATGTCCCAAGCAGAATCACCCGTCAGCCACTCCGAATATACATGCAGAAGCCACCCTGCAGCAGTGTAAACACGACAAGGGACAAAGTTGAGCTTGTCATGGAAGAGGGGGTTACTGAACAGACTCTCTAAGCATTTGACAGGATCCCTCCAGAATAGTCGGATCAGGTGTTTCGTGCTGTGAAGTGAGGTAATGATTTGGCACTTCCAGCTCGGTCCCTTGGGGAGCATCTCAGCACAGCTTCGTAATTCTTTAGTGTTCTTAAAAGATAGGTTTAGTTCCTGAATCTGTAAAGGCAATTGTCAATAAGAGGGTGAGGAGGAGAAAGGAGGAGAGGCTTCAATCGGATGGACTATGCACCAGCGCAGAAGATCACATACCATTGAGAGTGCCAAAAATTCATTGATTGCTGCCATGCTGAGCAAGGACTGAAGCAGAAAACCAGTGACTTCCCACTCATTCCTCGATGCAAAAGGGTAAAAATGATTATCTTTCCTGCAGTCCACATACTCATCGGCGTCGAATAGATCCAGAAAGGTTGTGCTGTCCCGAGAGTAACAAGTCCCTGCGCCTTCATACCATTCCTCTGCACTTTTAAATTCCTCTCCCGCTACATTGAAGTGGTCTCCACTGATGTCAACATTCATTCCATCTCCAGCATCAGGATATGAAACCCTGTCATGGTGGTCATCGGAAGGAAACTGAGGCGAAGGAGAATCAAGGGATCGCAGGTGTGGTTCAACCAACTCTACAAACTGCGAAAATGTCAACCATATTGCAAATAGAACTATGGCATGAGGTTCAGGGCTGGCTAAGGTGGTGAGTCATGCTGGACTCCTTCGTGAAGATTTTTCTGCATTTTGGACATGATGGTATTGACATTGGTATGTTTATTATGTTTATCACATGCTAGTCTAATTCCCTCACACATTCAAGTTATTAGCTAACATTCATCAATCATCATATGGAGCCTCTAACCTTGTATCTCACTTCCATCTGTGTTGCAAGCTAACCCAATGGATATGCGAAATTTCTCCTTCTTTTTGCCACTCATTTGTCGTGTTGTGAGACCATGATCCAGAGGTGTGCTAAAAATGAATAAATTAAGCACTGCAAATTACAAAATGAAATGAACACTCACTATGGAAAGAAGGATGTCTCATTGAAGTTCCACCAATCTCGAGGAGCAAACTTTGCTAAAATCCTGTGACAATGTTCTTGTTCTGCAGCAACAGCTTCAGTGTCCACAGACCAAGATTCCCCGTGCTGTTGGTACTCGCGGATCTTGTAGGCTTTGAAAAATGACTGAATTCAAGGCATGCTCAACATCAGGTCTGGTGACAACCCTTGGCCATTTCGATGACAATGCATTAGGGTTATCATTGACACAGGCTTCCATTTTGGACCTTTCCCTTAACTTGCGAGACAAAGTTGACTGTGTGAAAATGAGAGCACCAGATTTGAGAGATTTAAAGTGTTCTACAATTTTGGCTTGTGTGACATTAGGATGAGAGTCAATGAATGAATAGACCATCATCCAGTCTGAGAGAGTGAGATTTTGACGAGAAGAGCATTCAGGTGAAAGAGCTGAAGTTTGAGGAGTGTCCTTTGTGATGATTTTTTGCTGTTTTGCAGGTCAGTTGTATGCTGTGAGCTTATCACAGGGTTTCCGCTTCAAGTTTAGGGGCATTTTTGTGTATAATACTGTTGTAATTGCTTGCTAGCTTCTATACATAGTTCAAAGAAACAATGCCACATAAGCAGAACAATGCATTCATGCAGTACCTTATGTCCCACCCTATTAATTTCGTACTTCATAATGCATACAAGCCATGCCAAGGCCATGCATTATGCAATATGCAATATGTAAACAATTACATAGGAACATCATCGGGATCCTGAAAAGTTCATGCATTATGAGCATGTCTACTGTATAATGTTTAGCAGATTATCAAGACTCTTTTACCCCCCCCCCCCCCCCCCTTTAACTTTTTCAAAATTTGACAATATTTTTGCAGATTGCAGGCAATACTGTCATATTGATGCATCAGAACAGGCTAACTAGCCTATTTTTGTGATGCATCATCTGTCCAGTACATATTTTGGCTGTGCTGTCCATATTTGGCACTCACCCATCCATATTGAGCAGGTCGACCTGTACCTGGTATCTTGCTTACCTACTCCTTGCTTCCCGCTTCTCTTCTCATTCCAGCCTTCTTGCTTACATAATTTAATTATTTGGCAGCCCCAGCATCAGTAGGCCTCTTACCAATCCAGTCATGGTCCACCTCAACTCTGCCTGCCCCTTTTCCTTGCCCGCTGTAATGAGACAACAATTGCTGAAGACTACATGAAGTAAGTAATCAGCAATATAAAATGTTGTGGTCTTGCGCGGCCTAGTCTGCTATACTTGTAGACAAGTGCGTTCGACCCGAGGGGTTCGCTGTAAGGTATTAGAATAATCAGCGATACTAAAAGGAAGATAGTCCGAAGTGTGGGAAACAGAGTCCGAAGATATAATTATGAGTCCGAAGGTAAAAACATCGGGTCCAATGTTTTCAGGTTTCGGGTTATGTTGGGTTAGTGTCGGGAATGTAAAGAATGTCGGGGATAGTGAATGGCAGGTTACTGTCAGTGTTTTTGGAGTGTTTCAGATAATGAAAGGATGATATTTGCGGAATTCAGCGAAGAACTACAAATACCTAATGACCTCCTCCTACTCAGAGGTAGAAAGGTAAATAAGTAAGTAGGAGGCATTCGAAATATATAGTGTCTATGTAGAATTTCGGAGTGCTATAGGCGAAAGTAGTAGCGGTAATTTTTGGGTCCGATGTCCTATGTAATAAGACATGTGGTACTGCGGATATGTAATAATGCGGTCTACAGTGTTAGCGATGTGAAAACAGATAACTGCGCACCTAGTGGGTGTTAAGAACGTGCTCAAGGGTCGGATCCGAAGGGCTTGGCTTCAGCTCGTGCGCTGCACCCCTTACCTGAGTATGTGCCCCTAACTTCCGAGGGCTGTTGAACGATGTCTGAAGGTTACCGGATGATGTCCAGAATCCGATGTCCGATGCGCAGGAATTCCGGCGGACGTTCGGGAACAAGAGATAAGACTAATCCAGACGTAGTCCGAACTAGGAAGGAAACAGCGGAGGACTACCAGAGGTAGAGGCAGAGGTGACAAGTCTATAGAAATCAATCCTAAGACGAGCGGAGGTCGACGAGAGAGAAACTCAAGTCGGACGGAGGAGAGAATGAGCAGAGTCTAAGATGATATTTGAACTAAGGATGTACATAGATTCTACAGGGTTTATATACTACTAAGGACTTATCGGAGAACAGAGACGCGCAGTCCGAAGCTATACAAAGCTGTGGACGGAGTGTATAGAAAAGTCAAACACTAGTCTATCGGAAAATAGTAAATGAACCCGGAGATTAGAACAGATGAAAATAAAGGCGGAAATGAAATGAGGTACGGAAAATGATATAGTCTAACTGGAGTAGGAACATACAAAGGGATAAGGCGCGGAAGTTAGACGCGGGTCGGATCCAGACGATAGAGAGAAGTCGGCTGGATCCGGAAGTCCGGAAATGATGTGTGTGTGATTGGTCTGGGTCCGGAACGCGGGATATGACAGTGGGGATAGATACAACAGGACAGGACATAGGGAGGACAAGTGCACGGGAAAATATTGGGTCCGATGCACAGGAAACGTCGGGTCCGTCGGATTAGTGTCGGGTTAGCGGATAAACATCGGATTGAGCGGGTAAGTGTCGGATAACATTGGGAAGTGATTCGAGTGTTTGACATGCATTGGGAATTAGCTGAATATGTGCTCAGTGTGAGCCTGAGTGCTACACCGCCCTCTAGAGATCATAAACACACAGATAAGACCTAACAGCACATAGTTCAGTCAAGACCCTACGTAAAACCTGTACCCTAGATGTGCCAAATGGCTGTACAATGTGTTCAGCCGGAGGCTGGCCAACTGTACTAGATTCATGTAGGTGCTGTACTGGCCAGCCTGTAGGGCCATTCTGGCTGAAGCTCATTGTACATACTGTAATGATTAATAAAATGTGAGCTGGGGGTGGTAGGGTGACTGGCCAGCCACATAGAACCAGTACTGGCCAGTGCCTAAGTAAAAAGAGAGATGCCCATAGATTGTGACCAGCCAGGCCTGTAGAGCATGTACTGGCCAGTATCCAAGTCACAGGTCCCAGGTCCATAGTCTTCAGCCAGCCACGTAGAACCAGTACTGGCCAGTACCTGAGCCATAGATTGTGACCGGCCAGGCCTATAGAGCATGTACTGGCCAGCATCCAAGCAACAGGTCCCAGGCTCATGGTCTCTATATATTGATCTGCCAGACCTATAGGACCGGTACTGGTCAGTATGTGAGTAGTATGGGACATGCCTGTAGAATGTGACCGGCCAGGCTTGTATGACCAGTACTGACCAGTATGCAAGTGATATGAAATATGCCCATAGAATGAGATTGGCCAGACCCATAGGACCAGTACTGGCCAGTAAATAAATAATATGGGACACTCATAGATTGTGATTGGCCAGCCTCGTAGGACTAGTTAAGGCTAGTGTTACAACACGCTACATGAGTCCCCTCTGCCACCACTGCCCTCTGCCACCTTGCACGGCAACAACACGATACCCAGGCATCAGGTGCCCTGATGATAGAACACAGAAGAGAAGCCCAGAAGATGCTGGCTTAGTAAGCGGTCTGGACCGCATATGACGACATAGGTCTAGAAGACCTATTTATGTTATCAAGATAGAAGGCAAGCCTCGTGTTGCCTCGTGTACTGATAGAAGGACACCTTGTGGTCCTATCTTAGATAGAAGCCTGCCTCATGCATGGTATCTCTGACTCGATAGATAAGCAGATTAGAACCCAGCTTCAAGCTGAGCTTAGATACGATAGAGTAGCCTTATATAAGGACGAAGATTAAAGTAGATGCTCCTTACTTTAATCTTACTTGGTTTTCCCTTGAACTCACTGTCTTGCTAAAGCTACCTGCTTGACATAGCCCCTGCTATCATCGCTACGTAACCCCTTGCTCATCGACGAGCTTCATACACTCGTCAACCGGCAAGCTACGCCAGCGTATGCAACCTTTGGTTGTCTCCAGAGGCCGACGATCCTCAGCACTTGGTACCACTGTTGTGGTTGTCGCTGTTAGAACCATCCAAGTCGCACACGACTGCTTTGTCGTAACAGCTAGTAATATAAGAAATACAATGTGACTGGCCAGATCCGTAGGACCGTTACTGAACAGTATGTAAGTGATGTCATACTTGCCTGTAGAATGTGACCATCCAGACCCATAGGACCAGTACTGGCCAGTATGTATATAATATGGGACAACCCTGTAGAATGAGATCAGCCAGACCCATAGGACCAGTACTGGCCAGTATGTAAGTAACATGGGACATGCCTGTAGATTCTGAGTGGCCAGGCCCATAGGACCTGTCCTGGCCAGCATACTCATAGGCCCATAGATAGACAGGCCAGCAAAATGTCATGATATTGATGCAGATTGTTACAAGCAAGGTGATATATTGGTAACCAGTGTGGGTACAACAATTCAGATGGTGTATACTGAACAATGTGTTGGGTCTTGCAGAACCTAGCTGCTATTTGACCCTAAAGGGTTTCTGAACCAGGCTCAAGGCTCAGAGGAGAGGAAATATGATAGAAACTTGCTGAATACTCAGACTCATAGTGGAACTGGTGAAAAGGTAACTTGATTATGTAAGCTAAGGTGCAAACATACTACTAGGTAAAACAGTCTCTGCAAGGCTAGCTAGGAATTATTTCCTACACCAGTCCTCGAGTTTCTGCAAGAGACTTGGCAAAACATGGCCAATTGTTCAAAGTTCGACAACTTCTCAATGGCCATCAACTCTGGTCTCGATAATCTTCACAAATGGTACCACAAGATCGACAAAAGCGATGTCTATTTTATTTGTCTCAGTACATGCTACATTTACTATATAACACCCCCTCTAATGTACTCTAGCACTTGACCCTAACTATAAGGTCGCATATGCGAAGAGTAAATGGGAGTGTCATGACTTTGAGGCAGGTATGGAATGCTTGCAAAAAGTTGTAAGTCCATGTCTGTCTCATGGTCACAAATGCGCTAATTTCACATAGTTTGACAAATATTATCATCATACTTTAAGTTCGTCGCCTAATGCAGAGCGAGCTGTTGCTATTCACTCACTTGTCAAGGGTTGTATGGCCACGGTTGGATGCATGATGCTGTCAAATCTCATGTCATTAATGACACAATGAGCCGAAGGCCTCATCAAGAGCTTGATGATTATCTTGCAGTGCCACTAGAGAACATTGATGATGTGGTGGCAATGGCATGGTGGGGGGTAAGTTTAGTTTTTTGTATTGCTATTTCTCCTCAAGCTCACCATATTCCTAGCATCATTTGGTTCAATATCCTACCATTTCCTGTATCACAAAAGACTATCTGGCCATTCAGGGCTCTGCCATTGCATCAGAATGGGCCTTTTCAAGTTGTGGAATCACTGGGACCACACGCCAAAACTGCTTGTTGCCAACAATGTTTGAGACCCTGCAACTGCTAAAGAGTGCGTATCATCAGGGTCACATATCTGCAATGGCACAAGCTGAGTTTGCGGCTGCTCGTGAATACCCCCTCATGGATGTCGTGTAGTTACTCATTTGTGTCGATTTTTTCATGTAATTTTTACGATTTTTTTCAAATTATATGTTGCGTTTGAGCATTCAAATGTGTTTCGAACTTGAACCGGACCTTCACAAGGGTCTGGTCCAGTATTTGTACTCCTTGCCCGAACCTGACCAATGGTCTGGTTCGGGGTTCGCATTCAGAGGCCCAAGAACCGGACTGAACCAGACTTCAGCAGCACTACTGGATTGAGTGCTTCTGGGTCCCCTTCACATTATTATGACACTCGATAGATACACTGTTCTTGCATGAATATGTACATAGTATATGTTGTATTGTAGGCATGAATGAATTTATGTCATGCTCAGATCTGAAACCATTTTTGCTGCCGGCTTAAGTTCAATCATCAAAGCTAAGTCACACGAAACCAAGTCATTTGCTAGTGATAGACTTAACAATACAACTATTACTACAAGTCATACTAGTAGTACTCAGGCTACTTAAATTTTCAAGTTGTACTGTAGAACTGTGAGTGACTGGAGACGATGTATACTTTGCGGCCACTATTTGCTGTGATTGTGGTGGAACTGTGAAGTCTGTGGCTTACTGTCATGTGAACACAATTTTCATACTTTCTGTGGAAGAATTTGTGATTTACTGATGTACCTGTTGAAGCTCCTTCTCTGACTCACTCAAAGAAACTGACCATGTATGAACATGTCCATCATGAGTTAAAGATGGTACCTTATTGTCAGAAGTTCCTGGCAGTATAATGTATCATATACTGTGATTGTAGAAGGTACGTGATACATCCACACCTTCAATCCCTACACAGTGATGTATTAGTTGTCCTGCGTTAGGGTTATATATCATCCTGCTAGCAAGTGATGTATCATCCTGCTAGCGATGTATCAGCCCATATCATTGTCTGTCAGAGGCTGATATATCGTTGTCTATCATCAGTGGCCGATATATCATTGTCTCTCGTTACTGATGTATCACTCTGAGTGTCCTGTGGCCGATATATCATTGTCTCTCATTACTGATATATCACTCTGAGTGTCCTGTGGCCGATATATCATTATCTGTCGTCAACGGCTGATATATCACTCTGAGTGTCCTGTGGCCGATATATCATTGTCTGTCGTCAGCGGTCGATATATCATTGTCTCTCGTTACTGATATATCACTCTGAGTGTCCTGCAGGTACCATGATATATCAGTGAGCATAAAACATAGATTATAAACCACCATAAACAAAATTTCCGTCATAAACAAATCTGTATATACGCTAAATTTATCAGGCTACGAAAGGCTGAACAGTCCATGAAGGGACAGCTTCCCACAATGACTTGAACCGTGCAGACATTCTCCGGCGTAGCATTGCCTGACGGTGTGCATATGCAACCGCGCCCTCTGTGAATGCATGTGAGACAAATTGGCGTCATGACCCTTGCGCTTCCCACCATCCAGCCTGCCATTCAAGAGAAGCAAGAACACGGCGCATTTCCTCACGCAGGAGCTGTACTTCCTCGTCCCACCAATGAGCCCGTGCCTGTGCCTTGCACCATTCCACGCGTAACGCTACAGCCTATTAATCAAGTTATACACATCATAATTGAATACTTACAATCCTGTAGCCCTTCCTCCCGATTGTTGGACACCCCAGCAGTTTTCCATATCCATGAAATACTTTGTTGGCCGACTGTCTTTCCTTCGTCATGCTTGAGCGGGACAGCATCTTTCGTCCTGTCCAGTGGCTTCAGTACACGTTGCCAGTCATCATTCTCACCGAGTTTTGATGCGAGTATTATGAGCGCATCTCTGGCAACGATGTACTTGGCTGATATTGCACCGATTTGGCCTTCAGCTGAATGGATGATGCTGTGAGCACGAGTATTCGCGTGTTGACCTCGAACAAAGGTGTCCTTGTAGTTGTAGAGGTGGTAGGTCATATTGATGACAGTGCGAAGGTCGGTCAAAGCATCATTTGCCTGTGCCTCACATAAATCCCATTCGTACCTTAGCAAGTGAATGTCGCATGGGAAGTTCGAAGGCAATGAAGAAGGGAGAAAAAGATTGATTTTGTGGACCTTGTCCTCGGAGGTGATGTCATCAGGCGATCGCAGGCGGGAGACATAGGGCATGTACAACAGTTGTACGCGGGACCAGGTGCCAATTCTGCGGCAGAGGGCATTGATGTGCTGAAGTATCTTGACTTTTTGAGTGTCGGTGGCATGCTGTCCAATGCTCTTCGCCTCAAACTCAACACGTCGTCTAGGTAGAGGCGATTCAGCCATGAGTGTAACAAATGATACTTACACATACTGCTGATCCTCCAGTTCCATTCCCAATGAGATAAGGACCAATGGTGATATATCATCGTCAAGGGACATATGTTCACCACGCTCGATTGCTTCTGCCTCAGCCTTCGATAACGCCAGACGCACGGCAGCCTGGGTCACAGCTGGTAAATTACTCATTCAGTGACACTAATTTTCGGGCACAAAACGGCACATACTAGTCCTCGCTTTCATTTCAAACGGGTTTGACAAAGAGCGGTCTGACTCCCACATCTCAATCTCTGTCCTCCATCCAGCTAACTGGTCTGCATCAAGGGCAGCCTCAAATTCATTAAGATCGTGACTGTGTTCTTCAGCCTCGGGTACTGCGGCCTTATATTTTTGGAGGAGAATGGCACCTGTGGGAGTAGCTTAGCTTTGAACACTGATTGATAGAATGATCATTCACCCATAGCGCAGACCTTCTTCCAATTCCAGTCATTAAAATGGTCATCTATAGTGTCTCACCTGGATCTGGGTCCCATCTCGCGAGTACTGGTAGCAAGAGGGTTGATATCTGCCCATCCACGCTCCGGAGCTTCACCATCTGTTCACCCAACACCCTTGATAAAGTTGAATGAAAACTTTGTTTGGCAACTAGTGATGTGCACTGGCAGGTGGAATTTAGGCATGAAGAATGTGATGACCTTTTCGTCGTGGTTGATATGATACTTGTGTGGGAATGCCGACATGCGCGACCAAAGGTTTTTGTTCCACTGACAGGCGATATCATAAGATATGTTGAGGACATGAACATCACGTGAAGAACGCATGCTTGAAAAAAATAGATAATCCATGTTAATGTACCTATGAACGGTGGGTTCGGAAACAAGACTATGATATGATCGATGAAAGAATGCACCTCTCCCCCTTTTGCAAGTCGCCAACTGAACAAGGGCATTTGAAATTGTGCCGCGCACAGTCAATAGTCCCTGCACCTGTCGCTGCAAGTCCATGAGAAGCCCTCGTATCTGCCAGGTTCACTGCAGAGTGACTAGAACATGTGCTCTTCTACAATTGATCATAGTTAGCACAGAGACTCGTGTAATTGTATTTGACTTACCTCCTGCGCATTGGCTACCCTGTTGCGTGAAGCCAGGATGTCCTTGTATGCAGTTTCTTCGACGAAAAATGCATATCCATGATTCAATCCAGGATCAATGGCATCTGATGATACATTACGATGAACAAGTCAGAAATTTGCGTCAATAGCGAGGAATATTGCATACAAAAATCTGTAGCTAGGGTAAAAATCAACGTTGAAATTGATCTGGACATTCTTACTGGAATTCCGGTGGTGTATTTTCCCACCCAACAGGTAAGTTTTTGCTCGGATGGGGACAGGCAGGGCATAAGACGGCGCAAGCGCCTGCCTCTGTTTCTTCAATGCCTCCAGGATGATGACCCTGGCCGCAGCGTTTCATTTGGACTATGAAGCGCCATTCATGTATCATCTGGAGGAAAGGCTCGTAACGATTCTGGATGATACAGTGAGTAAAGATGAATTTAGATGTAAGACACATAGCCTACCTTTAGGACATGTGTGCCTGTGTTATCTGCGAGCAATTGTATTATAAAACTCCCATGCCGATACCTTAGATTCGAATGACAGCATTTGAAAATACTCCAGTACACAAAATGTAGCGGCTGATTTAGGGTCCCCTGTAGTTGCAGGAAAGAGGCGAACACATAGCAATTGGGTGATGTGCGGCTGAGCAGACTCGCATCCGCAGAAATCAAGTCCGACTTCATGGACACCATTGTAGTCGAGGACAACGAAGTCATTGTTGAATGCAGATATCGGATTCATACATCGAACACCAATAGGATGCCCAAGTTGAAAGTGGACTCCCAGGGCCTTCAACGTGGTGGTCTGAAATGAAGTACCATTCCAACACTGCAATGTTATTTAGATCATTGCTCACGCACAAATAAGTAGTGCACATACCTCCATCCTGTGAAGTGGTTGCCTCTCATGTACATGCACAGCGCATGAATGGCACACCAGATCTGCTCCATGACAGTCTTGACACCGGTATATTGGGTGTTCTTCCCCACAGAAACGCGTTACCTGCGCAAAGTCACCACGGCCCTCCAAGCAAAGAAATTCCAGTAAGAACAGGCTGGCGTCAGACTTCCATACACGTAAAGGATCATCCTAATGCCAGTGAAAACATAGTCAAAGTCTTGACTGATATACACTTACCCCAGCAGTGCGCTTTCGCTTGTGAGGCTCTGTAGATGTATCATAGAGATCCTCATTAATATTATCAAGTGAGGAAAAGTCAAAACCATCTGTTGGTAAATCGTGTGTGCTTCGTAAGTCGGGATCTTCAAACTGGCATTTGGCAGGTGAATGCGGAACCATGTAGTAAACAGAAGAAACTGTAAGACAACCACTGGGTGCTGCCTCGAAGCTAGTGTGTTTGTGTTGCTGTTCCTGGCGAGTCTGTTGTGGAGTATCGTTTGTCTCATTTCTCACTGCTCTTCCTGCAGCATCATTGTGAGCAAAGAAATTTTCCTGGAACCGCCGGAGCATTCGCTGTCTTCAACTAGTAACCATGATTGATGACAAGACTGTGTGTTGCATCAAATACCGCTTTTTGCCGGATTCTTTACCTCCGTCATCATAGCACTGGCGAGTCCCCAATTCCCTTGCCCAGGGTATTATCATTATACTGATATTCTCTTTGAATGGTACGATAGATCTAGTAGGTAAAAACATACTGACGGAAAATCATTGATTGCCCAGGCACCAAGCACTGCCATGGTTCTTGAATTGCGCTTCCAAGAGAAGGAATCAGCTGAAGGAATCAGTCGCCAGTAAATCTCCTCCTTTGTCTGACCCTTTCCCACTGCTAACTTTCTGGCTGCGTTAATATGTAGAGTCTCATCTCGAACCTCATCCTTTAGAAGCATATCAGAGTCCCTTGAAGGCATCGTTAGCACAGGATGCTTTCATTCACCCAGATCACCCCCTCCACAAAAGGGCATCAATGGAGCCAAACCCTTCTTAAGTGATTGAAATCACTGGGCTGCGCAGCATAGTATGTATTATCTCTATTATGGGATGCTCCAGAATTTTGAAGACGCGATTACTCTTCTCCTCAGCTCAGGTGGAATACCCAGAATTTTGAGACGCAATTGCTCTTCTCCTCAGCTCAGGTGGAATACCCAGAAGTTTGAGACGCAATTGCTCTTCTCCTCAGCTCAGGTGGAATACCTGAGATACTGGCTGCATACCACGGGCCTCACCAAAAACCTTATATCTCTTCCTTACTCCGATTGTCTTCTAACTGAATCCAGCCTGCGCCATGTCTCACCCGTTTTGTAGAGTAGACATTCTAAGTACGACTATGCAATACACAGTAGACACTACAAATAATATGAAAAACAAATGAGCGACTCATTCTGATGGTGTTTGCCAGCTAAGTGAACCTGCCAACATGGCATCGTCATAGACTTCAGTACCTCCTTGATCTATAAGAGCAACGAGCTCCCTTTCTGCAGCCAGCCGTCATGTTATCAAACAGAGCAATTGCTCACACTGCTGCGATAGATCATTGTGTCCGATCCCCGATGCACGTAGCTGTACAGTCTCTAACAGCAATGTAACACGCCGGTGCAAATTGTGCACAAAAGCACACACATATTCGAGCTCAGGGGATATTACATCCCATCCTTCTGTGTCGATGCGTTGGAGTAGTGCAAGAAAGCGACTCTGTAGGGCATTGTGCTCAAGAACTCCTGCTTTGTAGCCCAGCTCAATGTATAATATGTCGAGGTTGTGAAAGCTTGAGATGACGGACTTTGTGACTCAGAATCAGCAGATATCTGTGAACTGTGACACTGGAGAAAGACGTACATCACTCATTTGAGACTGCTTTCGCCAATGATTTCGTGACTTTGCTTGCTCCATAGTCTTGTTTCTAGAGTAGAATGAATAAAATGACAATTGATTCTAGAGAATAGTAATTAAAACTAACCTTGCATAGTGAGCTCGCTTGCTTTTCAATCTAGCATTGCGACGATCTTCCTCAGATTTGTATTTTGGGGGCATTGATGATATGGGCTGAATACTATGAAGCTTTGCAGGTAACTCAGTGTTAAATGGGCCACACTTTGGGACAGATAGATCAATTTGATTTGATCCGCGTACACTATACCATACTATCCTGTCATGTACTGTAATCTTCATGCCCAGAATACTCGTACTGCCATATGTCAATCAGTCAAGTCAATCATTTGGATGAACAGGAAAATTTACACATTCACCAGACACCATAGGACATATTTCAGAGGACTGTATGTTTTGCACTGTGATATATCATGCTGCGCCTGCGTCGATCACTCTCGGCATGCAGAAATACCTTGGTAACCAAATACAAGGATCTTCTGAGCATCTTTGATTTCGGCGTAAAGATTGCGACAAGCACTAATATAAGAAATGATTGAGTATGTCTGACTCACACTCAAAGGAGCAACACTGTAATATGAAGTTCATTGAGCATGTCACACGATATTTTTTAATATATACAAATGGCAAAGTATCTATTGTGCAGAGATATCAAGCCGCCTCGCCACACCATACATTGAAAACATCCTGGAAGTGTGCCTGGGCTTCATGGAGCGTGGTAAAGTAATGCACTGATGTGCTGGCAGACTGAAGTTTTCGGGCAGTATAGCTTGATGGGTATCGTTAGACACGGTACAGATCAAAGTAATGAAGAGGTAGCCTACATGTCACTGAATATTCCCACTCCATAATGACCAACACTTATGAACCAGTCAAACTCACTGGCAGGGTCAATGTCAATGAGTGTCTCGGCACTCGCGTTGGTACTGGCATCAACAGGTTCTACCTCCAATTCTTCCCTCTCACTGGAATGGGACTTGAGCTGGGAACCAGGCTGATCATCCTCAGCAGCATTGTCGGCAGGGCCAATCCAAATGTCTTCGATGGAGGTGTCATCCTCCCCCGGGCTGTCCATTACATCCTGGCGAGGGTCTACTGTACAGCGTATAAGCAGTGTGAGCCAAAAAAGTAGTAGATAGACTGTACATACCATATCGTGCATGAAGTGCACATTCTTCACCATCAGCTCAGTAGAACCAACCAAATGGTTGCGGAGATGATGGAGGAACTTTACAAAAGTATGTCAGTATCGGCAAACACTATGGAGAACTAAAGAAAACAGCTTACCATATCCACATTGAACCAACCGAATCGCCTCGATGAACTGCTCGAGTCTGAAGCAGGGATGGGGTAGCATTTGGACACGGCGGTTGTGGGGACACCTAATATCTGGCTGGGACATATTCACGAGTATGAATGAAAGCAGTAAGGTCAAGTTAGCAGGAAATAAAATAGTATTTGTACTGCTGACCGATTGATTGGTATTGATTGGTCTACCTAACAAAATTTTAGATAAATAAGGTTGAGGCGACAAAGTTTGTGCTTGGTCTATAGTACCTGGAAAAAACGTGAGCAAAAAGCATACCAGGCAAAATGGATAGACGTCACACTAACATTGTAGGTGCAGATGGCCCCTCCAAGATGGACAAACACAGAGCAACTTACATGGCTACAAAATGAAGTACTGATGTACCTACAAATGCAAAAAGAAAAAAAGTTAGTCCGATTTTTTGAGCTGCTGTACCCCAAATGGTTCAGCCAGTTCCCAGAACACATGAGGATTTGGCCTATGGGATTGGACGAAAACCTACCTGACGAGGACGTCAACATTGGTGAATCTGGTCTTGGCTCAGATGCAGCCATTGACGAGGTCATTGCCGAGCTTGGTGATGAAAACACTATTATTCCTGTCAGTGATCTTGAAAAACTGACCGACTTGGATGCGGAACTTATGGAGGTACTCAACGATGCCACCCAACATCGACGTAAAGTGTGTTTCTTGACTATGAGCTAATTATAGAAAACTGATTAGTTGTCACACAGAAACTGCAAGAGTGGTTTCGCAACAACACGAAAGGAAAGACTACACCTGGCGGGACTTCGACCAGCAAAATCCTATCTACATTGCTTGGACAGCGTGCATGAGGCACCCGAGACCTCAAAGAAGTTGAGGTGTATTCGCAACTTCACTATGAAACAAAAGTCAAAGTGTTGGTGTCTGACGACATCAAGGAAAATAAACTTGTGTTACCTGACCAGAAGCTTCGTGCGGTCTGGCACCACACTAGCGAATGTTTTTCGAAGGAGTTGGAAGATGTAAAGGATGAGGTCCGCGATGAGACTCTACGTATTAACGCAGCCAGAAAGTTAGGTTCTGTTACAGTGGGAAAGGATCGGACCAAGGAGGAAATTTACCAGTAACTGATTCCTTGCGATTTGTTAGACTTCAACTGATTTCTTCTCTTGGATGCGCAATTCAAGAACTGCCTATTGTCCTGGGTCAGATATTCGAGGAACTCTCAACTTTGACTGGCGGATGGCATTACTCACTTGTCATGGGTGGGCAGGATCCTCTGTGCGAAGGCGATATTATGACGTTGAGGTACATCTTTCTTACTAATACTATTAGCTATAGAGAATTTGATCTTATTTGTACCACATCCGTGTCAGTTATCACCATGGTAAAACATTAGATGGTCTGAGCTTCAAGACATCAACAGCCAATTTCCACGAACAATATTTATTACCATTCGAAAGACACCTGGGTCGCATCTATGGTAGGTACAATTTTAGTTGGTTTGTAGGTCAACAACTGATATATTAATATATCAATAGGTGCTTCTTTACCGAGAACTTCAGTTCCTGCATCTGCACCCAGTACATCTCCATCAACTATCGACTTCATTTCGACATCTGGACCCAGTCTGCCTCCTCCATTTCCCATTTCCCATTTCCCATCAACCTCATCTCACTAGATGATCCATTAGATCACCATGCGTCAAGCTCCAGTCTGCCACTAGGGCAGGAATCGAATACCTGTGGACTTGTGCTCGATCCTGTTCCCTTGTCCGCGCATGTCTACAGCATGGACTTTAACCTCACACCGCAACTGAATGGACCGCAAGGCTACCAGTACCCTGACCTGTTTTCTTACAATCTGGCAGGTCCAATGCAACCAGACTCACCAATCACCGCTTGGAGAAACGAATATACATCTGATGAAAATCCAATCATGTCCACTGCGCTCCCTCAAACACAGGAACCAAGCTTGCCATCTTCATTTTCGAATAATGCTAATTTGTTCCCCGCACACGATCTGTCATTTACACATGTAACTCCGCTACTTTCTCTTCACCAGCCTTTCCCGCCAGTCCCTTCACTCCAACCCTCTCTCCCACTCTCTTTACCCTGCCCTGCCCTGCCACTCTCATCACCCTCTCTGCCGCTCTCGTTACCACAGCCTGCTTTACCGCTCTCATTAGCCCAGCCTGTCTTGCCACTCTCATTACCCCCGCTCTCGTTACCCCAGCCTACCCTGCCGCTCTTGTTACCCCAGCCTGCCATGCCGCTCTTGTTACCCCAGCCCACCCTGTCGCTCTTGTTACCCCAGCCTGCCTTACCACTTGAAGCTGAACAGGGCGCATTGGTGCCTAATTTGGAGCCATTGATGTCCTCGGAACAGATAGTTGGAACCAAGGCTAGGCGCTCGGGACGTGAGGGACGTCCTTCAGCTCGAGCAAAGGAAGCGAATGAGATGGGAAATGTAGTGCCGAAGAAGAAGCGAAACTCTGAACAGCCCAGTGCTTCGGAGTCGAGGAAAAAAACTCGTAAGTGATGTTATTATGGGTCTTGCACTCATAGCTACCTGCTTACTATACCAATATACCCATAACCTGTGTCAGAGATGTTAATATGGAGATTGTTGTGAGCGATGAAATTTTGCTGGAACTGCCGGAGCATTCCCTGTCGACAGTGTGTTGTGTCGAATACCGGTTTTTGCTGGATCCTTTAACTCTACCATAGCATCGGCGAGCGCCAGTCCCCAATTCCCTTGTCCAGGGTATTATCATTATACTGATATTTTCTTTGAATGGTATGATAGATTCAGTCAATAACAACCTGCTGACAGAAAATCATTGATTGCACAGGCACCAAGCACTACCAGAGGCACATCGGACACAGGATGCTTTCATTTATCTTGAAATCGCTGTGCTTCGAGGGCATCGTTAGCACAGGATGTGTTTGTTCATACAGATCACCCCCTCCACAAAGAGGGCATCGTTAGCACAGGATGTGTTCGTTCATCCAGATCACTCCCTCCACAAAGAGGGCATCGATGGAACCAACCTCTTCTTGAAATCACTGCGCTATATAGTACCTGTAACCTGTGTCAGAGATGTTAATAGTGAGATTGTTGTGGTGTCCCTGTGACTCGACTTTGGTGTGTATTGGACTAGATTTGTGTGAATGCAACAAGACCTCGTCACAGCTGCCAGACTTGCACAAGACTAAACGCTTCAACCCAGATGCATCCGTGAGCTATGAGGTGATATATCCACGAGCTAGGAGGTGATATATCGCCACAGTAGGCGATATATCATGCAACACAGCTTGTGATATATCACCTCCTAGCTCACAGATGCATCTGCGAGCTAGGAGGTGATATATCACTGGCTAGAGTGCTGAGTATTAGGAGTACTATAGCAGGTTATATATCACGTTTTGCTAACCTACCAGTGATATATCACAATCTTAGTGACTCATTTTCTAAACCTAGTACTGGAAAGGTCTATCATTGTAGTATACAGCTTGCTAGCCTAGAGCTGATGATATATCACATATTGCTAAACTTTCAGCCTGAGTGATATATCACTGACCATTGCAGGTATCCAAGTCCTACTGTAATGTGATATATCATGATCCTGGAAAGGTCTGTTGTCAACCCGGCGGACCCGCTACTACACTACTACTAGGGTTGATAATATATCATTCACACAGTGTGATGTATCACAAAATTCAATATACCAATCTCTGGCAGTAGGTGATGTATCACCTTCTGTGAACTGATGTATCATTGTCTTACATTTTTACTCAAAGGCGTGGATGTATCATATACCTTCTACAATGATAGGTGATTAATAGATCATTATGACACTATCGCCTGTTATTGTAGCTATTGCACTACATTGATGACAAATCAAATAACATTGCAGCCAGCTGCAGGTGGTACAATATGTAGTTCAACTAAACTTTATGTACATTCCTATAAGTTAAAACTTCAGTATCATAAAGCTGAAACCATGATTAGAATATAGGTTTAAGCATAGAAATTGGACACTTACAGAATACAGTGGAGGAGGAGTCATACCTGCAGTCACATTAGACTGTGTGACTAGTCCACATGTGAATAGCTGGCTAAGCAGCTGGAATAAATCTCCAATCACTGAAAGATGATGTCAGAAGAGACTCTGAGTTAGATAACCATACATACCCTGTCCCAATGAGTGTAGCCAAACCCCAAGCCAACACAGGCCAGCCCAAACCCTACCTTGCACTCCTGCATACAATCCCAGGCTATCCTCACTACACCTGCAGGCTACAACAGCCCAAAAGACTGTATCTGCCATGACTATCATCAAGACAAAAAGAATACAATCAATGACTACAGTTGATGGAGTACTGTAGAGTTACAACCATAACTTTGTCACATGTCCCACCCCACAGTGAATCGAACCTATTTGATGTGACGGTCACACTAAATTTTGGGGAGCGAAGCTATTTTGTGACAAGCGGTAAAACAGGAAAAATCATCAACAAAAAGACCAAAAATTGCTACAGACAAGTTAGCAGTGCGACCAAAAATCGTTATATAGGGTATTGACCATCCCTTTATCCATTCTAAATGTGCCATAGCAGAGGGCCCAAGGCAATGATGTGAGGATATTTTGGTCCATGTCACCACCAAAAGGAAGAGAGAAGATTGTTGCACCGAGTTGGGTTGCAACCCCGAGTCAGTCGGGGTGAAGCTAACTTGGATAGGTCACACGTCACAAGGGCGTACAAAGCTGCGAAGCTAAGTGTGACATGGTCACACTCGAAAGGGCATGAAGCTACGGTCATAACTCTACAGTATGTGTAGGTAGGGCTGAGTCAGCAAGAATTAGCCCAAGTAAGTTTAAGTTAGGGATAGGGCTAGTGGACTTGCCTGAATACAAATCAATAAAATAGTATACAATGATGAGGTGCCAATTGATACACTGAAGAAGCACCCCAGCAGGGTGTGCAAATCTTCTGAGAAGCTTGGTGTGGAGATAGGCAAAGAATAAGGTGCTGAGTATAGATGCAATGATGGCGGTGTGTTCAAGGGAGGGTAGGGAAAGGGCCTTGGATAACCATGAAGAAGAGCCAGTAAGGACAAGGGGGACTGCAAACAGTGTGATGACAAGTCCTGTTGATAGGGGGCCGGGAGATTGGTTCAAATTTGTTGAAGCTGTTTGTGTAGTCTGTGAGAAAGTGATGGCTGATTGATGATCTGTGGGGAGTGTTGCTATTGAGCTAGACATGATAGTATGTGACAAGGCTTGAGATGTAGTGTAGTGTTGAAAAGTTGGTTTTTTTGCCTCATTTTACTGCAGGCGTGTAAAACACCAAAGCACGTGACCTCGCTGACAAATCCGCGACCCGGCGCGTCTCACCTACCAGTGCTAACGCTCAACGTGCAGATCTGCAGCTCCCGTTCCGTCGTCTTCCCATTACAGGATGCGCTGCTGTACCTGCACTTGAGGATTACTCGTAAGCACAGAAACCACTCACCGACGGAGCTCGCCGGGCCTCTTGTGTCGTCATATGTCGCGTCCATCAAAGCTGTTGTTGCGACACAATTCTGTCGAAATTTCGCGTGCGCACACGCAGAAAGAAGGCAAGGTTTGTGCTTTTTTCTCTGTCTATAATGTATAGTTGTATATACGTGCACCCATGCAATATACATGTTTAAATTTGCTTAATTGTATGGCGAAAATGAGCGAGTGCGCCCGCCCGCCCCATCCATGTAAAATTCTGCCGCCGGAGCTCTTAGCCACCCGTAAAATCCCAAGATTTTACGGTAAAATAAAGTGCGGCGGGCACTTTACCACAACTTTTCCATTCTTTTCTTGTAAAATGCGGCGCGCAGCGCGGCGAAAAATCGTATTTCTGGTTCCCTTCCCTCCAAATTTTGCTTTAACTGTAGCCTTACATTCTCACTACAGTCTCTGCTACTCCAGATGTTCCTAGAGGTGTGTAGTTCTTACCCTTTCATTTAAATGTTGCAACGCGCCTCAACTCAGACCAGTCCCGCGCTGCCCTAACAAGGCAGCGTGACCGTTTGTCACAATTGCATTGCTCTTTGTCCCGCACTAGCACTATCTAGATCTAGCCGCACGGTTTGTTCAACGCCGACACCACTCCATGTGACTCAGTACTCTGGATATATTTGCGGCTAACATCACGCTGCAGCATGTTCTTGCCTTAGTGAACAGTAAGTTGATATGCCCTTAGTTGTTCTCAACATCACTCCTGCTACATCCATCAGCTCCCACAGCTCCGCCATCTTCAGTGCATCTTGCATAACTCTCCATGAGATCTGTACGCTGCTTTGGAACACTACCAGGCTGTAGCAGCTCATAAACAACGCGAAGATGTCAAGGTCTGCTCCTTCAGCGCCATTCTTCTCATAAATGACTCACTGACTTGGTAGTAGGATGAACCGCACCGCTGACCCTTTGCTTCCCTCATCCCTGGGCCTCCGTCTGATGCATCCCACCCGCCCTCGTGCTGTCTTGTGCGAACCCGCTTTCTTGCGCCCTTGCGCCGTCTTGTGCCCTCCTGCTGTTGCCCACGTGCTTTCTCGCACCCTCCTGCCATCTTGTGCCCTCCCGCTGTTGCTCATTTGTACCCTCCCGCCATGCATCACACCCGCCCCGGTATCACCTGATAAATTTGTAGCATGGGGGAATACTGTCACTCTGTAAAGTTCACCGAGACTTTCTGACGCGATGTGGGAACTGACGCAATCCTTTATCTTGCAGTACCAACCACTCGTGATCACCTAGCAGATGCTCCAAAGGCATGTTTGCGTCTCTGACTCATCTACCACAAATTGAGCATGCTTCTTGCAGACTATTGCCACCACAACAGCCCACAATGCATGCATAGATGGTGATTTATCTACTGACGAAGAACTACTCATGCAAGATATCAATACCGATGCGAACAACCATATTCCCTATGTCCATTGCTCAAAGGCATGTTTCCGTTTTTGACTCATATACCACAATTAGAGCATGTTTCCTGCAGATCCTAGCCATCACGACCTCCCGTATTGCTTGTGTAAATGGAGACTTATCTACCGCCGAAGGACTACTCACTCAAGATATCAACACCAGTCCGAACAACCATACTTCCTATGCCCATCGGTCATTCGTCATGGCGCGAAAATGCGACTGGGACCACGCCCTCCTGGACGCAATCAAGGTGAGAATCATTGCCGCCTTATACAGAGCAAACTCGACGGTGACATAGTCCATCAGGATTCGGCCCTCATTGATGGGCTATATCTCCAAGGGTATTGCCCTTTGTGGAAAAGGCTGCATCCTGGATGCGAGGGCAGCATTTGATGTTGCATCCATGTACACGGACCAGGATTCAGAAATCGTTCATTTTCTGCTATTGATCAAGGTATGGTATGTTACATTTGTCTCGCATACTCTTCTCTTCATTGCGTATTTCAGGCCATCACGCTCTTTAATGCAGATCAACATGACGAGGCAAACCTGCTCCTCAAAGAGCTCGCTGCTGGTTGTCCGAATGCCAACACTCTCGCATGTGGCATCGTGCAAGTAAGTGACATCCATACTTACTCTCATCAACACTCATCTTTACAACTCGCACATTAGGCATATCTACACGTTCAACTTGGGATCAAAGCCTTGGATGGCGCACACTACGACGAAGCCACCGACCATTTCACTGCCGCTATTGACTCCAGCAATTTATCATCAGAATCGGACATTCATGAAGTATATGAAGATTTGGTGGTGGTACGTCAAGATGATGCCTATATGACGCTTTTCATAACAGAATCTCTTGTCCAGTTCCTTGGCTGGGACTTAAAGCCGTTGTGGCGAAAGACACCATAAACGGTGTGATGCACTCCTTCGGGCGGGTAAACTCCAAGATGCCGTGAAGTCATACCAACACATGATGACTTCAAGTGACGAAATGACCAAAGCCGACTGCCTTGATTGGTCCAACGGTGAGTCTAGAGCCCTTAATGTCGAGCAGGCGACAATCCTCACCTGCATTTTTCTCAGATTTCAAACAGGAATGCAGCGCACTCTGCACTGCCAATGGAGAGGCTGCCTTCGCTGCAAGTGATTACGACAAGGCTATCGACCTATACTCGATGGCAATCGACCTGGGTTCTGCATCCGATGTCTTCTTTGCAAATTGCAGCCAGGTAAAGTTGAGTAAAATGCTGTGGGAGGATGCGCTCCTCAACGCCCGAAAGGTGCGATGGCATCCATGTTTTCGTAGCCCATGTTGACTTCGGCGATGCGTAGGTCACCGAACTGAACCCTTCGTCTCATGTTGGGTACCATTTGTCACTCAGCGCTGCGTGGCACGCAACGTTACGATGAAGCCATTGAGGCCTTCACAATCATGTTGTCCAAGTTGGACGATGCTCCTGAAGCTCAGATACGAGGTAAGCCATGGAACATTGCTGCCTCGTCTCGAAATGCCTATCTTGTTCTGCAGATCTGCGTCTGCAATGCAAGCCAGTGTTTCAATTAACGCTATTGACTCTGACATGCGTATGTACGACTCCAGGCACTTTCAGTCTGTTTCTGACACGTCGTTTGAAGCTGTCGTCATCACTGTCTTGAACGCCTAATCAGGGTTTGCATTGGTTGCAGAAGGTGAGAATCAGAGTTGAGCTGTAAGGAGGTGTTTGACCTCGGACAGAACACGTCGAGGGCGAGGGCGCGAGGGCAAGTCTGAACGAGCACCGCACTCCCAAATTCTGTCATCAAAAGACCATCCTTCTCTAGTCATTAGTGCACTTCAACTCGTTGATCTCTTGCTACAGATGCTTCCACGTAAATAGGGCTCTTAAGTTATGGCCCCTTGGCAATACACCTATTCCTCCTCCTCCGATTTGACACTGTCTTCCTTGACGCTATCATCCATAATGCTGTCGTCCTCAACGTCGTCGCCCTCTGTCCTGCTTAGAATCTCAGCAACGGCGTGCACCTCGGCTGCCTCCCTCATCGCCTCAATGACCTCAACCGTTTTCTCATAGCTTGAGAGGTACTTGTAAACGGTCCTGATGACATCCGCCTGAAACCCTTGCTGGACTGCGAGCGATTGGACTAAGGCATCAAAGCCAACCTGGGCAAAGTGTGCGATGTCACCCTCATGTATGTCGCTATGAGTGGTGGACGCGCCTGAAGCTGTTGTAGTAGAATGGCTGCTGGGCTGTTGTCCTCTCGTGCTGTCTTTGAAGAACGTGAGCTGGAGCATTGTGGCTGTAGAGAGGTGTGTGTCAGCGTGTAGTTCATATGATGTGACGAGTGCAAACCGGCGCTGTTGTTTGATGCTGTGGAAAAAGGCGAAGATGCCCCTTTAAGTGTTTGAACTTCTATATGTACTGACTCCTATAATTCATATCTAGAGTGTGACACCCCGCTTGTACAACACCTCCTTCTCATCCGCTCGATCATATTTATCCTAATCATACTCTATACTATATTGTACTTTAAATAAATGGCACGGGGCACAACAAAGAAAATCGTGGTGGCCATAAATAAACCAGGACGGAAGGCAGCTACTGCCTTGACCTCAGCTCTTCAGGAACAGCGCGAAGAAGCACGACAAACACTGCTGAAGGCGAAAGGGACTCGATCGCAGTACGCCGGCCATCTTGAATGGGGCTGATGGTTTCTCGCGGACGTTGTTGAGCAGAAGAGAACTACCCAAGCAGAGGGCACTCACTCTCAGGCTGATGGCGAGTCTGATATCGATGCATACAGTCGTGCGTTCGACATCATCCCTAACAGATACTCGGCATCGGCACTCGAGCTGTTCCTTGTCCAGAAGGGATTGACGGAGGGATGGAGTTTGAGCACAACATGGGGCATCTTCTCCGTGTTCAAGGATATGTGGAAGAACGCGTACGTCTCGTCTAGTATTTCTGTGCATGTGTTCGAGGCCTCAGGACTCCACATAAATACTACAGCAAGGGTGAGACTTACCGTGGTCCCTATCACTGCAACGAGGGCACTGGGGTGGTCACAGGAAACCCAGCCTTGTCTGCGGCTGCACAGGATATGATGGAAGTCCTCAAGAACAACGAGGGTGCTGAAGGTGGAAGCAGAAATCACGCGTCGGCCATGACCATTGAGGACATGCAGAAACTCATGGCCTGGTCCTATAGCCAGTGTCCAGATAGAATTGTCAGCCACGTTCGCCAGCATCAGGAAAACGTTAGTGTGCTTAAACGTTCCTTAAAGTGTTCTATTTGCCTTAAGTTCGACTTAAGGCCAAGATTTTCATTGCTCAAAACAAGGAGATTAAGTAGGTCCATCTCCTTAAAATAAGGCCACTGGCACATATAAGACCCGCAAGGACACAAAAGCGATACTATTAAGGAGCATAAAAACCAGGCCAGAAATGTAAACTAAGGCGAAATAAGGACATTCAAGAGTTTAAGCAAGCTGGTGCATAGCGTCCGAATCTGACAGTAAATGGAGTCGGCTTGGGAACATGGTATAGTATGCGAGTAGCGAGTGACTGCGGCTGGCAATGAACGACCTGGAAAACGATGGGGAATGATGGTATCTGTGAGGTGACTCTAGTGAGTACAAGATCTGAGAAGTACGTACTCGAAAAATCATGCATCGAGACTCCTGTTGAATAAATGTTATTAGCGGTTGAAAAAAAGAGGAAAAATGAACATTACAGATACGAAGGCGGGAGCGTTTGTTGACTGGAGCAATTAAGCCACTGGAACCAGAAGGTTCGTCACCTGTGTCGCTAGTGCGACGTTGGGGACGTGCATGCTTCATGTAACCTTCTGCTCGAGTAAGGATTTCTTGGATATGTTCGTGAGGTAGATCCTTGATGCTCTCCATGTACGCCATGGTATCCGTCTCCCAGTTTCCAGATGAAAACGCTGTTCCAGTATGGCTAATCTTATTAGTTGCCTCGTTCAGCGTCTGTATAATCTTGTGGGTTTTACCACAGTTGTCAGAGGGATCAGCGTCGACTAATAAGCAATTTTGAACCAAGACGAGAGCACGTTCAGCCTATAAATATAGTCAGCATTCAAGTTTAATGGAAGCAAAGAAAGAGAAAATAAAATGGAGACTTACTGACACAGCCGATAGCGCGAGTGCAGTAAGGTAACCAGGCTTGCCAAATTCGACGAGTGCATCCACCCTCACTTTGCCAGAGATTGCGGTGAGGTGGGCAGCAAAAATGCGCAAAATGTACTCGGACAAAAATGCGCCTGGCTGCTCGTCATTATCGGGATCGTCATACACGAAGCGACAGTCTTGAAGCTGATACTCAGCATATTCCTCACGAGCTTCCTGAGTCTCATATTCTGGCGTTGAAGCAAAGAATGCCATCAGAACACTGACAGCTGTTGAACCGAATGCAGCCCGCCACTTGTGAATGCGTTGGCTTGCCTAGGAAATGTGAATCAGCAGCCATTATAAGTCAAAACAAAAATGCAGACCAGTTGAAATGGAAAGCCATCGACGTCAAAATCACAAGGTCCTCGTTTACGCGAATCATATACCGCGTTAAATATGTTCTCGAGAACATACACAAGTTCATTCTCCGGTATGGACCATCCATAGTCACTGTTGCCAACCCAGAACATCAGGCATGGAAGGAACTTCGTGCGCCATAATCCATTTTCGAGGCATCCGGAAGGTAAGTTTGAATTTTTGGCCTTTCCTTTCTTGATCTTTGAGCGTATGTTTATTGGGGCTTCGACCTCAGTCTTGACCTGGGCCTCAACCTTGGTATTGCCCTTGCCCTCGGTATGCTGTCCCATGGTCTTCTGGTTGGAGATGTTAACTGACATCTACTAGAGTATCAGTCATTTCTCGTAATCAGCGAAAAAGTTCTTACAGAGCTTGTGCGTCGTGCCACGCTAGCCTTAGCACCAATGGTGCGTCGACTGTCATCCGTCATCGAAACTACATAGCTCTCATCTTCGGCAGCCTCCTCATTCTCCTTGAATCCTTCAGCAGCGTTTGGGTCCTCAGCAGTGTCTGGGTCCTCGGCAGTGTCTGGATCCTGCATCATCTCAAATTCTTCGGCAGCATTGAATTCATCGGCAGCATTGAGTTCTTCAGCAGAATGCTCTGCATTTTGGAACGAGCGCTTCTTGCCTCTCGATGTGAGTTTCGGTTTCTCTTTCACATGCACAATTTTCTAATTTACATGAGTACATGTTCACAATTCAAATGGGTACTGACCTTTCCCCTCTGCATTGTCGGTGTCGGCTCACTGTACTCTTCAGGTTCATCATCATCAAGATCCAGGTCAGAATCAGCAAGTTGATGTTGGGCGATCCTCACAGAGGCTTGGGTGCTTGGTGGCGCACATGGCTTCCGTTGAGTCTGTGATGCGACTTTGTCTGCCCAGTCGGGAATGGGCCCTTCTAGGTCAGAACTGATGACTTGCCGGAGATTGGAGCTGATTCGGCATTCACAGATGTAATCGAAGTAGTATAGGGTGAGTTCTGTTAGAATCAGCATCACAGTCAAAAGAAGACTTACGATGTTTTGATTTTCCCATCGCCAATTGTACTTCCAACACGTGTGTCACTGTCACTAGTCGGAATCGTGACTCCACTGTTGGACACTTTGCGGTTGGCATCAACACTGTCCCGAAAGTTCAATTTCAACCCGGCATGTTTCTTCTTTACCGGTTGACCGGTCTGATTGTCTTGAGGAGCTGTAGTTGATTGAGAAGCTATATATGAAATGGTCGGGTAAGTAATTCAAGCATTGGGTCATGACTCACGATGAACTACAGGTTGCGTACTCTTCTTGCTGGTGATGATGCGTGGCCGAATGAGCTTGGGGGGACCGTTTGTCACGGTCTTCTGCTGGATGGCCATTGCATCCTCGGCTGCAGCAATTGTCGTACGTGATTCATTTATCACTGCAGCATGTGCATCCTTCTCAGCTTGCTTCTGGGCCTTTTCAGCAGCGACTTCTTCCTTGGATCGGCGCTGCACTCGGTTTGCTTCCCGGACAATATTTCCAGGATGTTTGTTTGCATTGCCAGGGCGTGTTCTTGGACGGGACATTAGGAAGAGAGTGATGAAAGAATGAGGGACAATCAAAAACGAACGACTCAAGAAAAAAACTACTGACTAAGGTTCGTCACAAAGTTCAACACTTCAGGGTGAGCCTCGGTTTCAAGTTCTGTTAATTCAATCTGACCCGAAACGAACAAGTTCACACAGTGCCATTACATCGAGCTAGTACATCGTGTTTATCATTTCTACTAGCAAAATGATCCGACTGCCTTGTCGCATTCCTGGTTGCAAACGGGTCTTCAAAAATAAGTCAGGCCAAACGAAGCATGTCCGCACAGCACACAGCCTTTTGCACAATCGTGTAACCTTCCATCAAGCAGCTCCCGACCTTCGCTCTCCAAGTCTCGAGAATCCTGCCTTTGACGATCAACCTCCAAGTCCCCAGCACCACGACTTTGATGAAAACAATGATGGAGCGTTTATGCCAGAGGAGGGCCTGCAGTTGGGGCCACTGTTCCGGACGTTCCATCCTCTTCTTACAGGTAACTGATTCGCATCATTCACCCATTCAGTTCTCACTCATAGTACAGGCCGAAAGTGCGATATTCATGGCAACTTTATTAACCAGAATGCGCCTCCACCATCCAGAACTGAAGCCTCACCTACTGACTGGACGCCGTATGAAAGCCGGGTTGCATTTGAGACAGCAGAGTTCTTATATACACGTAACCAAATGTCTGCGGCTCAAATCGACACTCTTCTCGACCTCTGGGCAGCAACACTTATTCAACACAATGATAGTCCTCCGTTCACTGGCCATCGTGACTTATATGAAACTATCGATTCGACTCCCCTCGGTGATGTCGCCTGGGAGACTTTCACCATGTCTTATGATGGAGTCAAGCCAGCTGAAGACATTCCACCCTGGATGACTGCCAAATACGATGTGTGGTTCCGTGATCCGCGTCTACTTGTTCATCACATGCTTTCCAACCCTGACTTTGACGCTGAGATAGAATATGTTCCGTATCGGGACTATACTAACAATGATCAGCGTTGTTACAAGAACTTTTTCTCTGGTGATTGGGCCTGGAAGCAAGCGGTATGGATTTCACGCCTCGCAGCTCCTTTCCTTGAACTAATAGTACATTTTTATACAGGACATTATCGCAGAGGATCCAGAAACTCACGGATCGACCTTTGTGCCTTTAATCATTGGCAGCGACAAGACTACAGTCTCGGTCACTACGGGACACACTGAGTATCATCCACTCTATATGTCAATCGGCAACATTTTCAATGGAGTTCGGCGCGCACATCACAACGGTGTAGTACTGGTGGGCTTTCTGGCTATTCCCAAAAGTGCATCGTCACTTTGACGCACTGTTTTAAATACTGATTCGCATTATATGTACTATAGGCACAAAGGAACATTTGGACGACAAAGACTTCCGCAATTTCTGCTGTCAAATGTTTCACTCCTCGCTCGCCAAGATATTTGAGTCTGTGAAGTTGAATATGACGATCCCTGACATTGTGCGCTGCCCCGACAGTCATTATCGACGTATCATCTATGGGCTAGGCCCATACATAGCAGATTATCCAGAGCAACTCATGCTGTCAGGAGTTGTTCAAAACTGGTGTCCAAAGTGCGTCCCCTTCTGTTTGATTCATTAACTTACACTGACATTGTTCAAGGTGTCTAAATCATCGTAAGAATCTCGACAGCGGTGGTCCATCTTTGCTCCGGTGCCAAGAACACACCGACCTCCTGGTTCAAGAACTGCAGCATGCCCACCTCTGGCATGAATATGGCATCATTCAAGAGGTTGTGGTATGTTCTCATGTTTTGCTCAGATTAACTTCTCATTCGTTTTTTCAGCCATTCACAAATGATTTCCCTCGAGCCGATATCCACGAACTTATCTCTCCGGACATCCTGCACCAGATCATCAAGGGGACGTTTAAAGATCACCTTGTTAACTGGGTAGAAGAATATTTGTTACTCACACACAGGGCTTCATGCGCAGCTGAAATTATGGATGATATTGATCGAAGGTACGAGTCTTTTGTCAACACATAATCATTATCTACACACTGTACTCATTACTCTGACAGGATCGCAGCCATTGCTCCTTTTGCAGGTTTACGACGCTTTCCACAAGGGCGTGGATTCAAGCAGTGGACGGGTGACGACTCTAAGGCGCTGATGAAGGTATGTTGCGACTGAATTCCTTTATAATGCATAAGCTAATACTACTACTATCTAGGTATATATACCCGCCATCAAAGGACATGTACCTTGGGATGTCATTCGCGCATTTAGCGCATTTCTCGATTTCTGTTACATAGTTCGACGAGACACGCTCACAGAGGATGACCTCACCCAACTTCAAGATGCACTCAACCGTTTTCACCAGTACCGCGAAATCTTCAAGACGACAGGAGTTGTGCCTGACTTCTCACTTCCACGCCAACACTCTCTTAACCACTATTTCCTCATGATTCGACTCTTTGGTGCCCCAAATGGCCTTTGCTCGTCAATTACCGAGTCGAAGCACATCAAGGCCGTTAAAGAGCCTTGGCGTCGCTCCAGCAGATACAAAGCATTAGGCCAAATGCTGCTCACCAACCAACGCCTCGATAAAATAGCAGCAGTGCGAAGCGACTTTGAAGCTCGTGGCATGCTTCAAGGCTCGTGTGTATCTGATGCATTGCGTGCACTGAAAAATCGTGAGTGTTCATTGTATTTAAGGCTTTTTAGATTTTTAACTTGTAATATACAGGTAGTCGCGAGCTTCCAGACAATGACAGTGACGACAATGACAGTGATGACAATGACAACAACGAACTTGCGGACACATTACAGGCTCTTCCTGACCGTTTGCGCATCAACGAGCGACCAAATCAGTCCGTCGAGGTAGATGCGGCCGAGATAGTTGATGGACCTGCTGCCCAGGCTCACGTGGAACTTGCTGCGCTCCCCAGTAGGTCTTCATCTTTATCACACATTATTTGCTAAAACTTTCTAGTACCGGGTGGTGCGCATGATGTCTCTGCACTTGCACTCGAACTTGAACTCCCGAACTTCCCCACAATGATCCAGCAGTTCCTTTACGACCAGCTTCATGTTGGAGACCACGAGGCCCCCAATTTCGACCCTGTGGCAGCACCATCTTTCATGGGCCGAGTTTCGGTTTTCAGCTCGGCAGCAGCATCATTCCATGCCCCCAGTGACCTCAGTGGCACTGGAGGCATGCGACGTGAGCACATTCGGGCGACGACATCATGGCAAGGAGGTCCTGCTAGGCATGACTGTGTATTGGTCAGTACAAACAACGAGGTCAATTGTGGCTTGGATGGACTTGCCGTTGCAAGAGTATTGCGCTTTCTCGGTTTCAAGTACCGGACGAAATACCTGCAATGTGCAGTTGTTCACTGGTTCTCGTACATCACAGACAGCCGGGATCCTGACACTGGAATGCACATTGTTGCACCGTCGACTAATGATGATGGCACACCAGATATCTCACTTATCCATATTGATTGTATATTCCGCACAGCTCATCTTATTCCTCTCTATGGTGCTGATTTCTTGCCTCGTGAAATCACCCCTCATGACAGCTACAATGTATTTCGCGCATTCTACATCAATAAGTATGTCGACCATCATGCATTTGAAGTAGCATGAGAGGCAGGTTTGTCGTCATCCTCTGTCCTCCCCTTTTACAGTTTAATCATTTACCAGGACTATCTACATGAACCTTGCTTGCATCCAAGGTCATCTGTGACGACACTTACTCCAACAAATCACCGTCTTTTCGTATCCGCTTTCATGCTCGCATCCAAGGTTATCTGTGACGACACTTACTCCAACAAATCCTGGAGTATTGTAGCCCAGGGCATGTTCCAATTGCGAGAAATAAATCAGGTGAGTTGTCGGCCTAATTACCATTCACCATCCAGCAACTCAAAGCGCGCTTCCCCTCTGCTTGAGGATCTTCAGGTCACCGTCTTTTCGTATCCGCTTTCATGCTCGCATCCAATCGACATCTCCAGTGTCAACAGCATCACCCCCAACACCCCTGGGTATGGAGGACTGTACTGCTCCTATCACTGCTTTTGTCCGTTCCAGCCAGTCAAGTAACCATCATTATATTTTACTATTGTCACTTCCGTGCTCATTTTTGCACATCTCGATGACACCACTAATATATACACTTCCGCGGCAGTATCATTATTTCAGGACTATATAGAAATGTCCCTTTAGAAATAAAATTTGCTTATGCGTCTTTATTTTTCCTTATGTTTCTTGTTGTCCTTAGTTTAGAGTGATCGAAATTTCTTATGTTCCTTAACGGCCTTATGTGGCTTGCAAGTAGAATAAGGCAAAATAAGCACACTAACGTTTTCCTGATGAGTCCGTTGAAGGCAGGTCAACCCTTGACATGGCTGACGTGATTCTGGCCCAGCGGCACCTCATGGTGCGTGCATTCTCAACAACAGGAATCACAATCTGGACACGGTACGCTAGGTTTCAAATTCACATACTGCAGTCACTTTACCTTGTATAATACATACAGCCAAGGTTGAAAGTACCCTGTTCTGAACAGGCCAGCTGATGTGGGCCCATCAATATATTGTTATGTTAAATACAGGTGGGCCCATGTCAAGGGTATATGTGATACCAACAGTGGGCCCATAGTGTGTGGTATAGTAGATAAGTGTACACTTTCCTATTGCCTTTGGTAGGTATTATATGGTAGGTAGGGTATGAAATATATATCTGATATGAACAGGTGGGCCCATCAATGTATTGTTGTGTTACATACAGGTGGGCCCATAAATGTATTACTGTGTTAAATACAGGTGGGCCAATGGAAGTGTTTAGCTGATACAAACAGTGGGCCCATAGTACTGTGTAGTGTAGTATACCAGTGCAGACTGTTCTATTGACTTTGGTAGGTAGTGTATAAAGTATGTGCCTGATACGAACAAGCGGGCCGAGTGGGCGGTGGTACTGATATACACAGATAGGGCGAGAGTCTAAGTATATAGAACGATCATGGACATGGGTCGGTCAATCGGTTGGTGTTCAGCGAACAGCTCCCACAATACACCTGGCAGAACCGCCTCGGTCAAAAGGCACTCGGTCAAATATCGTGGATGAGCCAGTTGGTCAATACGTAGGTATTTATGGACGAGCATGCATGATGGACTTGTGAAATTAGTCGGTCAATAGGTTTTTTATAGACTAGCTGCTATTATGTGTGCTAGAAACACCTCGGTCAGTCAAGCTAATCTCGGTCATATATAATGTACGATAAATCGGCAGAAACTGCAATGGTTGTGCCAATATCATGACAAAATTATATAGAACAATTGAGCGGGCACATGCAGTATAATTTTATTGTGCCAAATCAATAAGACCAATATAATTTATGCCGACAGGCCAGGAGGCAAGAAGTATTCATAAATCAAATCTGAACAGACAGAAGTATACTCTGCCACGGGCACTGAAACACATCAAGATCAACTGGGCTGACATTTAAATCACACAGGAGTCAATGTACGATAGGATTCACATCAGAACTATTCAATTCAAAACCAAGTGATATGTAGATGTAATTCGCCGACGGACAAGTGATCTACAGTACAACTATGTAATCAACTGAGTGATCAGGGGGGGGAGTGTGTGGCCGAAGGAAAATGTGATCCACCTGGAGCAGGAGCTGACAAGGGACCGGCATGTGCTGACGCCGAAGACAAATTTCCAGAGATGGAAGTGCTGCCCTGCATGTCAGGACGACCGAAAGAGCGGGAAGCCGAGGTTTGACCGACGCCAACAGAAAGGGGGATAGGAGCAATGGAAGGACCAAACACGCCGTTCAAGTACCTCATGCCGAATGCGGTGGCAGTGGAATCATTGCCATGGCTCACCATCGGTGGTGGGAACGATGGATTGGCAAGGACCCGCTCCTGCCGAAGCTTCTCAACAAGACCGACAAGTCCATTCACCAATGTCACAGTGGTGCCGACATCAAGCTGCACGGCGGAAAGCTCGGCACGCATCGAGGAGATGCGAGCGTCAAAATCGTGCTCCATCGCATTCACCCTAGCAAGGGCATTGTCATCGGCCGTTTGCATGGCATTGACTTGAGCCGTTAAGGCGAGCACACGTTCGAGGATGGTAGGTGCTGGTGGCGCCGAAGGAAGGGAAACAGCATCGGCGACACGAGTTGGTGGGACATGAGGGACGGGCAAATCGTCAGTGTTCTCCAGCCAATGGTCGTGGGGGAAGTCGTCCGCAGAAGCAATGGCTCCAGGCTGGTCAACCATGATTTGATCAGCGGCCTCAGCCGACATCTCAGTAGGAATGTCAGTGTGCTGCTCGGCGTCGGTAACAAGATCCATATCGGCATCATCGTGGCCAGACACCTCTGCGAAGGTGAGTTAGAGCGTGTCATGGCAAAAAAAAACAAAATTACCTACCGGGATCCTCAACAGAATCCTCAGATTCCACCATGGGAGTCGGTGGACGTGCGCGCGAGGTTGCTCTGGTGGTCCTGGATTGGGCCTTGGACTTGGAGGCCGGTGCGGCCTTTGGCCGAGGATGTGACTTTGGAGCCCGCATTGTTGCAGGGCCGCGGGTATCGACCGACATCGGTCGCTCACACCGTACCTTCATAAAATGGCACTTGGCGCAGGACTTGATGGCCTGCCCCTTCCTGCCGACCACAACAAGGCAAGATTCCCCGATGCATCTGTCGCACGGTGGAGTGTACTGTGAACAAGTTAGTACTCTGTCACCGAAATCAACTTGCCTCACTGACCTCCTCCTCCTCATCATTGGCCCTCAGTGGCCGGCGCCCTCTGATAGGCCCGGCAATGTCAACAGCCTTTTCCTTTCCTTTGCCCTTTTGCTGGGCTCGGCCGATCTTTGGTTCGGCGGCCGGCTGAAGAGTCTTGAGTTCGGCAGATTGACAGGATGAGGTAAATCTCACCTGCTTGACGTGTTTCGTCGTACCCTGCAAAGTCCTCAGCGATAATATAGGCACTGGCATTACTGCCATGCTTACCTGTGATTTGACCGGCGCTACACCGGAAGATTCAGCAACCTTGGCCCGCTAATCTCATGTAAGTGGTTAGTTGAAAATGGTCAAAGAAAAACATACCTTGACTATGATGGTGCCTGTTGGCCGCCTGTCCTCATCCTCGGTGTCGGAGATGATAGCCTTTGACAGACGTTTCAACACCTTTTGCTTCTTCCTGCCCGACTTGGCATCAGGGCTGTCTTCTCTGGTTCTACGAGCCCCCCGGTCAGATCGTTTGCCCTTGTCAGTAATGGTGCTAGGAACAACGGGCTGTTGAGAATGACCGATGCGAGGGAGTGAGGCGATCGGCGGAACAGACAGCCTTGTGGGGGCTGGTTCTGGTGCCGGTGCCGGTGCAACTGCAGGTTCCGGATCAGGTGCCGGATCAGGCACATGTGCAGGTGCATGCCGGCAGGCCGGTGCAGCAGCTGTGTGTTCTGTGATGGTATTAGCGCACCCATTTGAAATGAAAAGAATGCCGACTCACGATATCCAGCAGTCTGTGGGAAGAACGGATGTGACTCCATACGATAATCGTTATGGCACACACGATCCCATTGGGGGACAAGACCTTGATTCATGGTCGCCCGGATTTCGGCGGCTGCAGAAAGGAGGAACGGCGAGATGACCGAGCACGTCCTGCCATGCTGCTGCAGCGCTTGAGACTGTGCATGGTGAGTAGGTACATAATAATGAGAGTGAAAAAAGACACACCAGCTGCCGCGCTATCTCATGCGCCTGATCCATCACTTCCCGGCCATCAGCTGCCCAGTGTGTGATTCGGCTAAGCGAATCGCGCAGAGATTTGTCGGCAAGCGCCAAAGCAAGATCGGATTCGTGTTGTGACGGCATGGTTCAGAATTGGCGCGAGGTGACGGCGACGATGTTGAATGTGAGTGAGGAATGAGAAAATGCAACAAAGGGCGCCACATTGTAAGGCCGCCGGAAATGGCCGAAGTACGGAAATGACCGAAGTACGAAATGACCGAAGTACGGAAATGGCCGAAGTGCGGCAGCAACGTTCGGACTTCTTCATTGTTTACCAACTGCAGAGTGTAAGTTCCCAAAGACCTCTATGGGTCCCCACGAGAATTTGGTTGACAACGCTCGAAGGCTACAGGACGACCGCATCAAAACCGACTGCAATTTTTTCGTCACTTGGGACCAGTGGGTGCCACCAAAGTTGTGCACAACTCCCTCCCCTCAAAACGGCCCGAAACACCATCAAACTCGCATTAGCCCTGAGCAACCGAATATATCCAGGCCATATAAACTAACAAACTATTTACTTTCAACTATGCCATCCTGGCAGACACAAACCGAAGCACTTCCCACCCAACATGCTGGTACTGAAAGTAAGTTTCATGTTAAATTTATCTTTAGTGGTTGTTGACAACAGTTAGTATTTGACATGTCCTGGAATTTCAAGGATGATCCAATGCCAACGGTGGAAAGACCGAATAAAACTCCATCGGCTGAACCGCACATGCGAAGCCAAGGTAACTCGAGTCCCTTTAGAATATTTTAGACATCTAACGAAGTGATTAGCGTTTGACATGTGTTGGGACACTGAGGTAACTCCGGCGCTGACTGATCCGGCGGAAGCGGCCGTACCACTGAAAGCAGGTGAATATGATCTATGATGGAATGGCGAGGAAGGTCTACCGACGATCGATTTGGCGCCGATCCTCCAGCCGGACACCGAAGAAAATGAGACCATCGATGTTACGGACACCAGAAAGAATAAGACCATGGATATCACAATACCCGGCGGAGCCGGTCAATACGATATGTGTTGGAATGACTGTGCATCTGCAGAAGCAGTGGGATATATAGGTGAGCATTGGTTATTAGCACTGACGACTGTGACTAAATATTACTTAGGCGATTTTGACATGTGCTGGGGCGTTTCACCAATGGCAGGAGATGATCACGTTGAAAGTGGTTTGATTGCTGCACCGGTGATTGACTTGGTCAACGCAGGTGGGTTCAAATGGTTTCTGAATGTAAGTCACAGACACTGACAATCAAATCCAACAGCGGACACTCAGGCATCATATGACATGTGTTTTGAAAATATATTGCCGACCACATCTCCAGCACCGAGTGATGGCTCGCCGAGTCAGACAGTCGAGGCAGGCGAAGAATTGCTGCGCCGAGCCAATTTGAGGCTGGAAAATATTGATGCTGCGATGAGTAGGTCTATGTGTCTTCTCATCATCGAACTCATGTCAAGGATCGCCGTGTTACAGGAGATGACCGAGGGCAACGTTGCAGAGATCTCTTGGACTGCCAACCAGGGTTTGATTTCTGATTACCAGGATGCCCGTAACCAATTTGTGACAGCCAGCGCTGATGTCGCGAAAATTGAACATCTGATGAACATGCACCTGCGAGATCGATGATCCCCTGCATATATTGCTACTAGCAATGAGGAAAATGGGCCGGGGACAGTCTCCAATTCAGTAGTGTAGAAGATTGAGTGGAGATAACAATGTATATATCATGTGTTTAAATACCATCTAAATACCAAACTCATTGAAGACCGAGGAGAATGGAACAAGCCACATAACATGTGAGACCGCCGACAACTACACATAGTCGGCATATCTCTTGGGCTTTTGTCGAATTCGGGCGCCAAGCCCGTTGTCAATCTTACTCCTTGTGCTCCTGGCTGGTGCATCAGATAGCGAGCGAGCCGCCGATCTGGTAGCCTTGGTCTTTTTGGGCGACCGGTCATTCACCGCCGGTGACCTGTCTCTGGCGGCAAGTGATTTCTTCGGCAACCGGTCATTTACTGCGGGCGAGGGCAACCGGTCATTCACCGCCGGTGACCTGTCTCTGGCGGCAAATGATTTTTTCGGCAACCCGTCATTTACCGCGGGCGATATATTCCTAGTTGCCTTGGTCTTCTTGGTCGGCCGGTCATTTGCCGCTGGTGTTGCCAGAAGATGTTCCATACCCCGACGAGTTGAATGTGGGCCGAAGCTACGAATGTGCTGGCCACGATGATGAGCACCACTTGCGTCATAGCCGGCTTTGGGTGCAGTGTTGCCACCACTTTCATCGGCTGATCCCTCGGTCACCTGTTCGATGGGCATGCCGGTCCTGCCTGCAGTAGTGGCTTGTCTGTTATGAGTAACTTTCCTGACCAACTCTACCACTGGTCGGCCCATTTGTGCGAAGTCTGTTGGCAGTGAGATGATGGCAGGCTCAATTGTAGCTCTCTTACGCAAGCTCTTCGGTCGCGGTCGGTCATCTGACTCTGACTCGCGCCCCACCTGGTCACTGTGTGCGGTAATTGCATCTTTCTCCACACGGTCGGAGGCATCGGTGTTGTTAGAGTCTTCATCAGCAGAACCGATATGAGCCTGTTTGATGAACCTCGGCGGCCTTTTTGGAAGTCTGGCCAATGAGAGTGCAGCAGCGGCCGATGACTTTGCAGTTGGCCTGGGCCATAAGCCCTCATCATCAGCATCACCATCAGACCCATCAGACCCTTCACCGACCGGTGAATGCATCTTGCCCTTGTCGTCAATCCACGCTTTGAACTTTAATGTTAGTCCAACCTGGTGGTCTTGTCGGTCCAACCAACATTCCAACAAGGCATTGGCTTCATTCCATTGCATTTTGGATGGGTCTGTGATCTTGATATCATTTGGCAGGTATGTGCTGGAGATGAACCGTGACTGCCCCTTCATTATGTCACTCCATGGCACTGGGACCTTCCGTTTTCCGCAACATATTCCTATGGCGGCGGGTGTCAGATAATGGCACAGGTCTTCTATCATACGGCTTACTGTAATAAATGGTGAGGAATGACCGAATCATTGCCTTCTTGACTTCAAGCGAGACACCCTTAATATCAGGCAATATCGGCAAATCCATACGGTCCAGGTCGAACTCGTAATGAGGCTTGGGGACTCGGCGAGTGCCTCCCAACAGTGTGCCGTCCTGGTCTTGATCCTGGTCTTGGTGGAGGCAACATGAATTATATGAAGCGCCTCTCAGATGGTCTTGAGACTTACCGAATTCATCACCAATAAAATCTTCCCATGCCGGTAAGATGACCTGCCAGTCCTTGCATTTCATGAAGCTGGATCCTCTTCCGAGGTGTTCATTGAAGTCAAACCTGCCAAACCATGTAAGCACAATGACCGACCGACCGAGCATATCAACTTGCCCAGATGTAAGCAGGGCGCCCTTCTCGTCTTTCCAGGATCCCAATACAAAGAGTCTCATACCGGCCTGAGTAAACATCTCTTTGGCGAAGTGCTTGATCATTTTTTCGCCCTTCTTCTTAGCTGTCTTGGCCTGGACTACAGGGTCAGGCGCTTGATTTGTCCACTGGTCGGCCTTTGCCCGGGCTTCCTCCAACTCATCATCATTGAGCCCTTTCATGATTGCCGTCATGGTAGGTTGATATCTTCTGAGGACTTCTTTCTGCTCAGGCTTCTGCCCAGTCTCCTCCTCGATTTCTTCATGTATTTGCTGAAGAATGTCGGCCTTCCGCTCCTCTTCGATGACTCGGCGGGCTGTCCATTTCTTTTGCAGCTTCATCGGCACTTTGGCATTAACCTTGGGTTTCTTGTGATTGTAGAACCACTGCCTGTATCTCTGTGCATGATGACTGTAATGCAGCATGACCCGAGATCAAAGCCGAAAAGCTTACCTCTTTTCGTTGCTTCAAGAACTCTTTGTCCATCTTTGGAGCAAAAAGTTTTGCCTCTCTGGCGGCCGCTTTGAAAATCTGTCGTTGCTCAGTTCCACTTGCCTTCTCCCAGTCCTCAACATGGGACTGCAGTGTGGTTGTCTCTTGGTCGTTCAACCGAGGCTGATCACCGGTGATTATCTTTGTCCGAGGCATATCACAGTAGGTAGCTTGGAGTAAAGAACCTGGAAATGTACGTGTAGGAGAGCGTTGATGTGGTTGATGGAACGAAAAATGGAAGGAAGCTCATGTGAGTTATGATTCACATAAGTGACACACCCATGTCATAAGTGAACGTAAGGGCTAGATTGTGCCGAATAGTGTGAGCCCTATCACTATAAGACTTATTGAGTGGTGTAGATGCATAGGTGGGTGGGTGGCATGAAATTGGAGGATCTGAAGTGCTCTTGACACATCATATACACAAATCACTATCGGTCATTGGAATTGCGCCGTGAATATCCATGCCAATGATTACCGAGAGATCAAAGTGACTATTACATACTAGGCATTGCATTTGGCAGTTGAATGTAAGCACTAAACCATTGTAGAGACTCATGCCTCTCATGGTGTGATATGGCAGTATTCACTAGGGAGTACACAGCACAAACTTGCAGCATCACTCTGTGTGCTATCTGCAGCTATCCCTATACGAGGCGCAGCTTTCCCATGCAACGCGCGCCATGCGCGCACCATTCCCGCGCTTCACGATGTATATACGCGCGCGCTTTCCCGCGCTTGATCGCCCTATAGCGCCAGCCTTCCGGAAGCATCCATCCACTGTCCACCAAGCTCTCTAGTGCGTGTATTTCCATTTCCCTTATTTACATATCATCCCACCTTTATTTATATCATGGACCCTTACTTACATATAGCTTTACATACCTTACTCGGTAGCGCTTCGGCTCTGCATGACAGCACTTAGGCGCCGTATATAAGCGCCAGCATTACATACTATTACCCACCTTCAAACTTTCGAACTTTGGACTCGACCTCCCACTTACCACCCACATACTACCTAGCAGAGTATAGTTGCAATCTATTCCTTGACACCTCGCGCTCATATCTCTTGTCTTGCATCATATCACCACTTAAGCAAACTCACACTTACTCTCACTTGCTTCCGCTCACGCGCGCGCGCTTCCCGCGCCTCGCGCGTACCTTCGCTTTCCCGCGCCTCGCGCGCACCTGCGCGCTTTCTCGCGCTTCGCATCAGCCGACCAGTAGCGCCTTCGGCGCGCACTACTAGATCCTTGCTGCACTCGCTTCCCCTTTAGGGTCGAACGCACTTGTCGTCTCAAGTATAGCAGACTAGGCAACGCGCGACCTTACAACATTTACAGATACAGTCAGGAGCTTCATTTGTTCCTCTCAGTATTGTTGTTTCTACACCGTCCCAAAGTCTAAGCATCTCATTCCAAACAACACATCCTGACAAACGCAGCACTACTTCCGTCCATGGTCAAGTCAAAGCCAAAGGCCTGGAGTCCTCCAAAGACATCCTCTTTGGTTCAATGGGAGAACAAACAAACATCTAGAGGAGATATGGGACGATTTGTCAAAGCTCGACGTTACAACAAAACAACATCGGTTCATTCATCCCCCAGAAAATCGCCTACAAAGGACCGATCTACCAGAGGACTTCATGAGGAGGGCGACCATGAACACTACGACCTAGGTGAATGTAACTTGAAGCCTTTTCATCTTCGCAAGTCCATGGCAAGCTCACCATTCACTTGCCTTGTCTCATGTGCTGACACCAAATATCAAGAGTCAAAATGACTATCTGCGCGAGTGGCAGTACAAGACCGAGGACTACTTAGACTTGCTCCTTCGGCGAGAGGGTCCACCTTCCAACAGGATGTGCTCTGTCTGTCCAAAGGATGGAGTCTACAGATGTCATGGCTGCATGGGTGAACCGCTCTTCTGTACCCATTGCTGTCGGACGTTTCACAGCCGCATGCCTTTCCATCGGATCAGTCAATGGACTGGGGGATTCTTCGAAGACACTTCCTTGACCAAGATTGGGTTTGAAGTCCACCTTGGCCATGCAGGCGAGCCTTGCCCCGGACTGACCGATGAGTGGTGCGACACAGATGATGAAGGAGACCAATTCACAGATGGCCCATGGATACCATTGGTTAATGATCCTCAGATGACTATGGTGGTGGATACGTCCGGGCTCCACTCCATGATGATCAGATTCTGTCAGTGCGCCGGTGCACTGAGCCCGGACATGCAACTATTTGAAACCGGCCTCTTCCCTGCATCTTTTACTTCGCCGAAGACAGCATTTACATTTGCGGTGTTGGACGACTTCCTGCTGGACAACCTGGAATGCGGGACATCGGCAATGAACTACTACAGTAAATTAAGAAGAATCACATCAAGCGTGTTCCCTCATCTGGTTCCAGTGAGTGATGTGGATTTCCTGCATTGCATTGCTCACAATAGCCGAAAGGACCGGTACAGAGAATTGATGAGGGTCGGCAGGCAGTGGAGACAAGTGAAGCAGCTCAAGTGGCATGGGTTTGGCCATGAGAAGCGAAAGCCGAAGGCAGGGGAGCTTGCACTCTTCTGTCCTGCATGTCCTCAGCCCGGTGTAAACCTCAGTATGTCAGACAGAAATGGATCCGACCCTGCATGGCTATATTCCAGATCTTTGGTCATGGATGGCAATTTCAAGGCCGAGCATTTACATCCCACCAATCCGACCGATGAAGTGGCATTGACTGACGGCTTGGGCTTCATGGTCAGCGACGCCCAATACAAAATGCATCTATCCCAGGCGCAGGACATTGTACAAAGGTCAGACTGTAATAACCACCGAGCAGTCAACCAAGCAAATGCTTCCCGCCACCGGCTGGAAGCCACAGGGATAGGAGGGTGTGCTTGCGCGAGACACGGGTGTTTTGTCCCTCATTCAATGGTGGACTTTCAGAAGGGGGAAAGGTTCGCCGTTCCAACTGCTAAATCGGCCAGGTTTAACTGATGAGTCGGCCGGTCAAAGACAAATGAATATGGATTACGCGCTGTGTCAAGCTCTGGGGTACAACACCGATGGTATTGATCGGGCATTGACTTTCTATGACATCAATTGTCAATACAACAAGCATCTGAGCAAGCGGATTGAGGACTCGCCCTATCTTGACCTTCCATGGGGCATGGAGATTATTCCTGGCATCGGGCTCTGGCATGTCCACGGCCATCAAGACAAATGCTATGTGCGGTATGCATCCAATTTCATAACAGGTGCCGCCAGAATCGACGGTGAAATCATGGAGACCCTGTGGGCGCCCTTGAACATCATATCACCGTCAGCAAGAGGGATGTCCACCCCTCACCGAAAGGAGTGTTTGGACTTTCAGATGAATGATTGCAATTTTATGAAGATGATACGCATCAGTGAGCAATATCATGTTATCCAGCTAGCAAATTCAAATGCATTTAGGCAAATTCCTTTGCCGAAAATTTAAGGAGGCCATGCAGGGAGTCCAAGACAGCCGACATGCATTTGACCGGTTGAGCGAGACCGCCGAGGATGACACCCTTGTCAAATGGGAAGCAGAGGCCACTGCTGCTGAAGATGACCGACTTCATAATCCCAGCTCCATGGATATATACGAAGTTCAGTTGACCAAAGGTCCATTGCAATGGGACTCTTGTATATTGAATATGCTGATGTCCTTGTGGCACAGCACCAACAAGAAAACAGCAAGAGTTGCACCTACTGAACCGTCAGGCACAATGGCCCGCTGGTGAGATTCACCGGGGTGCTGCAACTTGGCTGGCCTGTGGAATGACACTGGAGGAAGTGCAAGTAGCCCTCCTGATCGATGTCAACAAGTTGGGGAAACGGCCGACCGACAATCAGAAGCTGGCTATTGCCCGGCGTTGTGACAGATTGCAAGGTCAACTAGATGAATTTGTGAGGGTCGCACCGACATTTCTTGGCAATGAATTCAACAGCTGCGACCATTTGGACGGTATGACAGTTATGTTGGACGCAACAGAATTGGATTCCGTCGGATCATCATCGGAGGCTCCCGATCGGTCAGATGATGAAGACCAACGTAATATATCGGTGGAGTTCAATCCCGAGACCGTGGTGATTCCATTACCGTCAAACATCGGAATCGAAAGGTGCGCCGAGTGGGGCGTCTCCGACCTTGTGCTACAAGAAATATCCTTAAGAGAGGGCCAAGCAAACGATGCATTGCATGCTGTGAGGGTCAACTTGGCCAACAAGGCTGTTCTCTTTCGCACCACGGTTCGGTCAGCAAAGTCACAAGCACGGTCGACCAGAGCATGGGCTCGTGTGCACTCAGTTGACAGAGTTCTTAACCTCAACACACAGATCTACGCAAAATGCCGGAAGCAGCTCATTAATCTCGGTGCCGATGACTTATTGATGAAGTATCGGCTATTGGAGAAGGCCGACCTCAAGGCCACTACCGTGGTGGCAGACCCAAATGCCCGTGGTCAAAGAAATAGCACATTAGCCTGGTTTTGGTCCATTGACGTCGAGGGGGATTCTACCAGCAATGACTGGATGAATGAATGTATGTACTTCGCCGACCTACCTCTTCCTATATAGTCGTAATTTACTTGCCAAATAGTTTACCGTGTCCATTGGCTCAGGACATTGGCACTGCGAAATCGTTGGGAAGAGGAGCTACTGCTGGTCGGTCGAGAAATGACATGGACGGTTGCATTCTTTATGCATAAATCTCAACAATGGGTCCGCAGAATGCAGGAGGCCGATGCAAAGGACATCATTGGGCACCGCTGCTGTGCAGCCCGCCAGGCTAAAATGTATCTCCGACTATCCCAGCATGCAGAAGACAGCTTTGAGAGAACAAAAGGGGTGGCTGAGGTTGCGGAGTGACCGGGGTCCACATGCAGCTGCTAGATTAGTCATCAGTACAATGCTGATCCCCATAAAAGTTTTTTCCGTGTTGATGTTAACTACCACCATCATGTCCAACTCCCTAACATTGCATATGAACTGAGTGACTTTACTCCGTGGGATGCTGCCAATGTTCTAGAGTTTGCTACGTCTCGATTCGCCGCGATCTGGCTGGCTTGCGACCGAAACCACATCCCTCGAACGCCGGCTTACAAAGCCACCTTCATTTGGCATCTTCAGTGGGAGGCAGATGTAAGTACATCATCGTCCGTCGGTCGGTCGGCCATTGTGATCTTGTAGCTGATGCCAAATCAGTGTTTTGTATTCCAATATATTAACATATCAGTGGTCCTCAACATCCACCCAACCATGCCCGACCTTCTCTGCAGCATCATCGGCAGATTTACCCGATTCCAAACTGGAACCATCACAGCCGAGGAATTGCATGATGAATTCTTTCTTCACTGCTCTCCGCATCGCCCTGGATTGACGTCCCACCACTGAGTTGTTCCTAACTATCCCTATGATTGGTGGAAGGATCGCTTTGACCGCTTGAGTTTTGAGCTGCCAGTCTTGAACCTGCAAGAGGTCATGGAGATGACCCATGACCACTTTGAACAACTGGTCGGTCATTTTATCTCTCTCACTTTCTTTCTGCTTCATGATGATGGACTTACTCTCATGTCAATCCTTAGCCGCTGGGAGCTATCCTTGAACCGGGTCCTGCGGTAACCGGTCAAGTGGACGGTGAAGCCCTCTTCAATTAAATTGTGGCTGCAAGAGCCCACCTCCAACATCTCGGCGAATCAATGGCTTCCTTGCTGGAGCAGAAGGCCGGGATTGCCGCTGCAGCCGCATCCACCATGTCTCAACTTGAGGGACCGATTGCCGAGCTGGAGGAAGAGCTCTTAAATTCTGGTAGGCAATTGTCTGGCAAGGATTGACTTCACATCAATTGTGCTGTTCTATCGCCGATCTGACCCTCATTACCGGCAATGTGTGCATACTTACGAAATAGACATCGGTAGTATCGCCGAATTTACGTTCATGCTCTAAATGTATATAGTATTACTCAATGAATCTCGGTCCTGTCCCATATAAGCTAACCATCAATTATGCCAGTTGTTCTGCCCCCGCAGATGACTCCAATTCAGACTGACTGGGTGTTACATACCACAACCATCGCTGGTGACTTTGTGCACCAGCTGTTTGCTTTCCACGTTGGTCGCCAGCAACAGTCGGTCTTGCCTCCGCTCACATTGGATGTGCCAACCATGCTTGCATGTCAGCAGTTGGCCCGAGTTCTTGCTGATGCATATTTACACCCAAGTAAGTCATTCCTAAATATAATCAGTGGTTTCCTGACGGACCACAGTTCACCTTAATCTTGATATGATTCATTACAACGAGGCCCTCAACAAACGCTCTACCGGCCGGATCACAAAACATGAAGAGGCTCTGTCTAAAAAGTTCCCTCATAGTTCTCAACAGTTGCTTGACAAGCCCTCGGTTTTGGTGGATTCTGGTGGCCGGATTATCCTATGGTACCTACCAGACGCTATTAGCCTCTGGATACAAGTATGCCGATGTATTGTTGCTTATCGGCCAACATTCACACTGACACAACAGGCCGAGATGGAAGAAGCCACCATCGGCATGGGTCATCTCCTCAAGACAAGCATGACCAGTGGAGAAGAGACCCATTGGCGAACATACGCTGGGTATTTTCATAAGAGTGACCGGCGCCCGCTGACTCCCGGATGCATCAACATGGCTCCTTGCTGGTTCCAGCAAGGCCGAGAGGTCAGGCCTGCTTTTCCACTGTAATGTCTGCTCACTCCAACTGTTCCAGCCATATGGTTTTCCACCCACCGGTGCATTCGCTCCTGAGGTGTCAGGTACGCTCAAGGGGGAAGGAGCTCATATAGTTATAACATCCATGCAGCGCTCGGCGCTCCTGGCCTCTGCGGCTCTGCGGGTGATGCATCCAGAGTTATATTGGGCTTCGGTTAAAACCCAGATCAAACTCGCCCGATGGGCTATGGACAACGGCCACGATGAGATATATACTTGTTTGCAACTTTGGGCCTCGGTGCTCAACTGCGCAGCGGTTATTTGTAACCGGCAATGCCCTCTTCACAGAGATCCATGATCTCCTCCAGAGGGGTTCGACGTAATGACCAGTGTCGGCGAATATTACGACGGGCTCATGACCTTATCCAACCTCGGTATACAGTTGCGATACAACTCTGGCGCCATGGTTGCTTGCTCTGGACTGATCGTGAGGCATGGGGTCACATTCACCGGTGATCACATTGTGTGGACGTGGTTCATGCGCGATAGCCTTCACAATTTTGTGGGGACACCTCGGCCACAGTATGCAAGTTACATGAATGTAGATTGGGATTTCTCAGTTTCAGCCTAGACAAATGCGTGATTACATCTAATGGTACATTACAGTTACATTTAACTTTGTACATAGTCATCAAAATGTTCCAGATTCATTTGAATTGATGTTGAATTGTCAAAGCTGGCGACAGAGCGATGGTGCTAAAATGCGCCGACCAATGTGCAAAGGAGACCCGTTCCACACCGGCCCACCTGATAGAACCCGAGCATTCTCCTCATTGTCCCGGACGATTTTCTCAGGCATTCATTTTTATCGGCTCACCTGATGGCATAGAGGGTTTATTTTCATCGGCCGGCCTGATTGCATCAGTTTCAGCGGCCCATCTGCGATTATCAGGCAATTGTGTCTATCGGCCGACCGGATAGTATTGCTTTCATCGGCTCACCCGATTGCCTCGGACATTCCCTCATATTGGCTGACCTGATGGCATCGGGAATGTGTTTCTATCGGCTGACCGGATAGTATTGGTTTTACTGGCCCACCCTATTGTATCAGGCATGCCTTTATATTGGCCGACCTGATGGCATCGGGAATGTCTTTCCATCGGCCGACCGGATAGTATTGGTTTCACTGGCCCACCCGATTGTATCAGGCATGCCTTTATATTGGCCGACCTGATGGCATCGGAAATGTCTTTCCACCGGCCCACATGATGGTGTCAGTGTCATGGGCTCATATGATTGTATGAGACATTCCTGTGTATTGGCCGACCTGATGGCATCGGGAATATGTTTTCATCGACCGACCAGATAGGATAGGTTCCAATGGCCCACCTAATTATACCAGACAATTGTTCCTATCAGCCGACTGGAGACCATCGTGAATTCATTGTCATCGCATGGGCCATCTGATCAGCACGAGCAATATATTTTCGATGGGCTGACTGACACGCACAGGAGATATATTCTGCATCGGCCTGCATGATACCTTCATACCCATTATTCGCATCGGCTGACTGGTACACACAGTCACGACTCACTATTGTCTACATGGGCCGGGTTGAGAGCGTCACAATCCACCATCTTTGTTTCTTGGCGACCGGCCGACATGTTAATATTAAGCAACACCGTGTATAGGCCCAGCTGTTCCAATGGTCCATCAGTTAGTCAGTCGGCCGAATGTTAGACTCGGGCAAACACATTCAATCGGCCGACATCCGCTGGCCTGTGTGGAACGGCATATTTTCAACCTCGGCTGCCTGTATTTTACAGACTATGTGACTGAATGGGCTCCGCGTTGGGTGCATTAGTGCTGTGGTGAGATATGGCATTAGCGACGCGATTCGTGTTTCAAATTCCATTTTCCATCCTATGCGTCCTCCACACTCTAAACTGAGTCAAGACGCACCAGCCTCGACCTGATTCTGGATTCGATGATCCCGCATTGACCCCAGAAGGCAGCATTGTATGAGAGAGTACTTGAAGTCGTAACTAACCTCACAAGTACATCGTTCAACAAGAGCAGGACATATTTGAATTCGTGGTGCTGCTAGTATGGGAGCAGTGGCCACCCAGTTCGGTGATATACTGAAGCTCGGAGGACGATATATACATCTTGCGAAGGGCCTTGCAAAGCTACCAGACGATCATCAGTACCAGAGTAACACCGATCAGTGATTTGATAGTAGCTTACGGATGTACAACGTATGATATCTTGCCAAGGAAGGAAGCTTAGAATATGTAATATTAGTTCTTCAGGAAGAGACAGTAACTCTGCTTCGGTCTTCATTTTTTCTCGGTATAGTCTACTGTTCGATATGCTGAGACTTGATGTCAGCATTGTCAGCGATTGTAAAATGAAGAACTGACCAGAGTTTGTATTGTCAACAGCGAACACGATTGCGAGTAATAGCCTGAGAAGTGACTTAGCTGAAGAACGTGTACGCAGTGGAGTGTCGAAACCACTCAAGCTGTTTTGCTTACTGCTTAAATGCTTTCAGATGCAACTAAGAAACGGACGGACAAAGACATTGCAGCAGAAAGAATTGTAGCAGTGCCATGAATTAGGTAAAGGAACGACAAGGTAGCTCTATCGATTTGAGGTTGTGAGGACGTCCCAAACAATGAAGACTTAGTGACTGACCTTGAAAGCAAGTTCAAAGATGACTGTTGCCACCACTACAAAAAGGAAGTATGTTAAACTCGGCCCGCAATGATACATACAAAGCCTTAGATAAGGTATCCACAAGGCAGAACGAACATGCAACAGAGAGTGGCTCGCTCCAAAGGAGCCGAAGTGAGAGTGAATGTGAGTGAGTGAGTTAAAAATGATTGTGTATGTACGTGGATAACCGAATCAATAATATCGTGATGCAGCACGCAGTGCCACGAGGTTTCAAACCTTGTTATATGATAACCATGAGGGAGGGAGACGTCAAGCCCACCCTCGCCAGTTAATATTCGCATTTAGTGCGAACAGACAAGTCTCTGTTTGTGCGTCCGCTTGTTCCTGCTGTCTCACTTGACAACACCCTCGTTGACGGAACGGCCACTAAGCATGCACTGCCCTATCACTGTTGGACTTGGGGTGGATGACGCGATAATGGTGGAGGAAGGGCCGTTGGCAAAGGTTGATGTAGTCCCTGCTGAGGAACCCGATACAAAGCCGGCGGAAGAAGGCTCAGCAGAGCTTGAGCTGGCGTCCACAAAGCTTGCAACAGGAGGGCCGGGGAACGTGTACTGAATGGGAGGGTTGTAGATCTGCGCGATGATTAGTGCCATGTTCGAAGCAAAGTACGAACAGTACTGACTCAAGTTTGCCTGATACCAGGTATTGCCGTCCGCCTCGAGACCAAGGTCAGAGATCTTGAACCACTCGGAGTTCGTCGAGTTGTATGTTGAGCAAGAGCCGTTGCGCTTGGCCATGTAGTGCATCAGTGGGCCTGTGTCATGCGGTCACTGTAGATTGATTATCACTGGTCAATGGCACCATGTGTGAAGTCACGTACATTGGATGAGCCATCTGTTCCGCCGACCCATAGAATCTCGAGCTGGGAGCCACGGTTCACATTTCCTACCAGGGAAGCGAACTGAGCGTCTTGCCGTACGGGTTCTGAGCACCCTTAACGGGACTGTTCATATTGACAAGACGGATGATAGAAGGGACAGGTATTGAGAGTATAGCGAGACGGTCACGCGCAGCTAGACACAAAGGTACGAATATCTCAGTATTCGAGTTGAAACTCAGATTAACAAATCGTTGTACCTAGACACAAAGGTACAAATCTAATATAATGTTAGACCTCGAGTCGAACATTACGAAAATACTAACTTACATCTCAGTATTCGAGTTGAAACTGAGATGTTTGGATGCGGGTACCTGGGCTTATAAGGTGAGTCTCCCAGGTACAGTAATTTACGCTAAGCTAAACTAAAAGATGGACAGCGCACGAGTTGGCCACGACACGTCGACCTCATTCTCCGTTTGGATGCGCTCGCACTTGGTGTCCTCTCCCTTGGCTCTACGCTTCGGCCGGTTGCTGCCTCTCCCTCTTGGCTCTCATCCGTTCGGCCTTGTCTCCTTCGGATTTGTCAGATCCCAACACTCCCCCTCGAGCGTTATCCAAACGCATCATCCCTCTCAGTCGTTGGAGTCTGGGTCGCGGTAGAGCCTTGGTGAATGTGTCGGCCACATTGTCCTCGGTGGGGCAATAGAACAGCTTGAAGATGCCGTTCTTGATGTGTCCACGGACGAAGTGATATCGTAAGTCGATATGCTTTGTTCTCGATTGGAATTTCCCGTTGGAGGCTAACACAATGGCTGCTTGATTGTCGCAGTATATGGAGGTTGGGAGGCTTGGGGCTTCGTAGAGTTCGCCGATGAGGAGCTGTAGGAAGAGGAGCTCGCGCGCCACACTGGTAAGCGCGATATATTCAGCCTCTGCCGTCGATAACACTATTAACGGCTGCTTCCTTGCACTCCAGGCTATGGGTGCACCGTTGAACATGACGACATATCCTGACATCAAGTGTCTATGAGACTGCGACGCCCAATCGGCGTCGACGAACACCTCTAGGCCGGCGTCTGTGGCTCCCAAGGTAAGTTCCATGCCGTCCATTGCCTTTAAATAACGGAGAGCTCGTTTTGCAGCTTCCCAATGGGCTCTGCTGGGGTTCCTCATGAACTGCGACAATGTTGCGACCGTGAATGCAATGTCCGGTCGCGTACTGGTGGCAGCATACATCAAGGACCCAATGGCCCTTTGGTAAGGTACATCACGCATATCCTGGATTTTGGCGTGGGCCGCGGGGCCTTGCTCTACTGACAGGGTTGTTGTAGCCTCCATTGGGGTCTGTACGCTCTTGGCGTCGCCCAAACAAAAACGTTCAACGATGGTCGCAACATATGCCTTCTGAGACAGCGTGATGGTACGTGCCACTCTATCCCTTGTTACCTTCAGACCTAACAACCACTTTAGCTCTCCCAGGTCCGATATCTCGAAATGCTTCTGGAGTTCGGACTTGAATCGCTGGATGTGGGCTACGTGGTTCGCCGTTATGGCCATGTCGTCCATGGGCACTGTGATGACTGTATGCTCGTTGGAGGTACGTTTATAGTAAACGGCTTGATCGACTTTGGACCGGCTGAATCCCATCGCTAGGAACACGCCTGATAGTTCCTCAGCCCACTCGAATCCTGCCTGTTTCAGGCCAGGCAAACTCCTCCTCAATCTCAGCACCTTTCCATGCTGGTCCTCCTTCAAGTAGCCGGGCGGGGCACACATATATATTTCCTCCTGGATGCTGGCATATAGGTAAGCGCTTTTGATATCAACCTGGTGTATCTCCCAGTTTCGCTGAGCCGCCATTGCTAGGACCATCCGGATCATTATCATGCTGGCGGTGGGGGCGAAGGTCTCGAAGTAGTTGACGCCGAGCTTCTGCCTCTGCCCGTTAGCCACGAGTCGTGCCTGCAACTTCAGCTTCTCGCCGTCCGGTCCGCGTTTGGTGGCCAGGACGTAATGGCACGGTATGACGTTGGCGCCTCGGGGTGGGTCCACTACCTCCCACGTACCTAGCTTCTCCAACTGACTTATCTCATAGTCCACCGCCTCTTGCCATTCAACGGCATCAGGACCATTTAGGGTCTGTTGGAGTGTGGGTTCCGGCTCTGCGGCGGCCAAGGCAAGGTGAAGATAATTTTCTTCATCCATTAGGTCTACCTCTGATGCCTCTAACAGATTCTCCATCGTTAGGGCAGCCGTCTGACCCTCGTTTAGGGCCGCATAGTATCCGGGGGGTGGTCTTGCCCTCGTCGACCTCATTGGAGGAGTAGATGGCTGAGGTTGCTGGGCAGTAGATGGTTGAGGTTGCTGAGGAGTAGATGGCTGAGGTTGCTGTGGCATGGTGATGGGCTGGACACTATTAGGTGAGTTATTATTACTGTTGCCGCTATTATGTTCATTAACAGCAGTAGACTCCCCCTCGTCCGGCATACCATCGGCTGCCAGGATCGGTGTGAAGGTGACATTCCTTTTCACCGTGACTCGACGCCTGCCGGGCCAATATACCCGGTATCCCTTACTCTCAGTGTCTACCCCCACAAAGACTGCCTCCTCTGCTCTCGCCTCCAGCTTGCCAGCCTCCAGGGCATGGACGAAAACCGTTGCCCCAAACTTGTGGGCTCGGGACAAGTCCGGTTTGGACTTGCGCACCATCTCGTAGGGCGTGCTACCTGGGATGGCTCTCGAAGGTAAGCGGTTCTTGAGCCATGTCGCATAACTAATGGCCTCGGCCCACAGATACTTTGGCATGTCTTTGCCCAGGAGCATCGCTCTCGCATGCTCGACCAGGGTGCGATTGAGTCGTTTGGCGGCACCATTCTGTTGCGGTGAGTCGTGCACTGTTAGTTGTCGTTCGATGCCTTGGTGACGCAAGTATTGCTCGAACTCAGTGCTCAGATACTCCCCTCCTCTGTCCGAACAGACTTTGAACACGCGCACCCCTGGCGACTGCCGGGTCACCCACGCCTCGTAGGACTTGAACACTGTAAGTGCGTCACTCTTTTGCTTGAGGAATTCCAGTCGCGTTTGGCGGCTGAAGTCATCCGTAAAACTGACATAATATTTGCAGCCACCCAAACTCGTCGTCTGGGCCGGTCCCCAGAGGTCCGTATGGACTAGATCCCCATAGGTGAGTGCGCGCGTTTTCGTCTCTTTGGGAAAGGATTGCTGCGCTGACTTAGCTTTCACGCAGGTATCGCAGAATTCGGCTTTGGATTCCGGGTCTAGGTCCACGCCCACTATCATCCCCTTCTTCACAGCGTCCGCCAATGTGTTTTGGCCAACATGGCCCAGCCTACGATGTAGCTGGCCAAGGGTAAGCTTTTCTTTTGCTATGTTTGCGTGGTGACCCTGACGCGCTTTCGTCCCAACAGTGTACAGTCCTTCCACCTGTGGGATCTCCGCGATGACGTCCCTTTGGGGTGCACGCGAGAGTATCTTGCACATTTTCCCTTCGAAAAGGACAGCCAAACCGGCGGAGGCGATACGATTCGTGGAGATCAGTGTGAACACCATAGTGGGGGCGTATAGGGCGTCCTTCAACGTGACGCTCGTTCTCTTTGACCCCAATGGTAAGTCTATTCTTACATCACCACGACCTGTAGCACTGACAATCGATCCATTGGCAGTATACACCTTTTGGGGGTTTATTTCGACGAAATTTTGGAACTTGGACCTGTCGGGACAGAAGTGCGACGTCGCGCTGGAGTCGACTATTGCTCCACGGCATGCAGCAGGTATGTGCATGGCCTCAGCAATGCTCGCAAGGTCTGATGTTGCGAATGCATAGTTGTCTTGGGCCTCAGAGTCTTTTGCAGCGTTTGCACTCTGCTTCTGGGTGCGTCCTCCCCTTCTTGCCTTCTGCTTCAGTCCCTGACCCTCTTTTCCTCCCCATTTTCGCCAGCACTCGTTCTTATAATGACCTTTTCGGTCACAATTGTGGCAGAGGGCATCGGGATTGTACTGGGGTGCTGCGCCATCGGTGCTCTTTGACTTGGCGTCGTTAGCACGCGCTGAAAGGGCCGAGTTGGCACCTCTCTTTGACGGACGCCTGTCGGTGAGCAACCGATGCTCGTACTCCTCGCTGATAACGTTGACAAGCTCGTAGGTACTTAGGGCCTTTTGCGTGATTTTGGCTGTGGCGTTGATGGATGACAGGATGGGACGGTACGATTCAGGGAGGGATCCTAGGATTATGGCGTAGAAGTCTTTCTCGTCGATGGAGGCTCCCATTCCCGCGAGCAATTCACGGAGCCATAGCATCTCGCCGAAATGTGCTCGTACGTCTCCATTCTCTTCGCATCTGGTTTCCTGCAGGCGACGACGAAGGTTGATCTGGACTAACTCTGTTTTCCCCTCGTGAATCAGACACACCTCAGTCCAGACGTCCGATGCAGCCTCCAGCTTTTGCACGCGCAACAGGAGCCTGTCCGTTATGGTACTAAACACCTGCTGCTTTACTAGGGAGTTGCGCTGATAATATTCGTCTAGCTTCGTATCAAGGTCGTCGATCTCTGTCTGAGTGGGTATGGTACCGTCTTTCTTCGTCACGGCGCCGGTCTTCGCATCGACCAGGAATGCTATAGGTTTCGTTGCCCGGCCGTCCACATAACGCATCAAGCCTCTTGCTCCAATCACCGTCAACGTATGTTCTTTGTATGTGATCCAGTTTGTGCCATCTTCAGCTAACTTGGGTACGTTGAATAGGGACAAACTGGTAGCGGGGAGCGTTGTGTCCATAGCCGGGGCAGGGCTCATAACCTATTGAGAGTATAGCGAGACGGTCACGCGCAGCTAGACACAAAGGTACGAATATCTCAGTATTCGAGTTGAAACTCAGATTAACAAATCGTTGTACCTAGACACAAAGGTACAAATCTAATATAATGTTAGACCTCGAGTCGAACATTACGAAAATACTAACTTACATCTCAGTATTCGAGTTGAAACTGAGATGTTTGGATGCGGGTACCTGGGCTTATAAGGTGAGTCTCCCAGGTACAGTAATTTACGCTAAGCTAAACTAAAAGATGGACAGCGCACGAGTTGGCCACGACACGTCGACCTCATTCTCCGTTTGGATGCGCTCGCACTTGGTGTCCTCTCCATCACTGAAATTCAAGATGTAATATAAACCCATATCTTGACAATATAATGTAGACAATAACCGTAATCCGTCACAATATGATAGTTGGTTATATATGGTCGTGTATATACATATATGGGTATCCTCGTTGACCAATTTGAAGCATGTTTGCATAGACTTAGCTACACTAGCATTAAGCATCAAAAGTGCGGACACCCTCATATATTCAGTGTATTATATTGGTTTATCACCAAAGCACCATAAGCCAGCTTTGTGCAATCTCTCACAACTTGCTACTCCAAGAGATGTATGAGTCTTACCGGTGATAATTGTGCAATATTCCATCATCAATATTTATCAAGATATGTAGACCAAGTGTTTCTCATTTTTCAGTTATGTAAAAAAGAGTCTGGTACTGCACAAGTTTCAAAACTATAGTCTCATGAAGTTTGTGACATAGACTGGACCAAGTCTTCACCAGTCAAATACAGCTGTGTATTTTCCAGCTGAGGCCACCATGTGAACATCGGATCATATGTCACCAACTTCCTTTGTACTGCCAGTTGCATATTTTGCACGTCACTCAACAGCATGTAAAATCAAGCTAGAAAATTCCACAGAGTAAATAGATAAATCATTGTGTAGATATTTGCAGTAGATAGTCTTGTACTGTACTAGTTCAAAAAATATAGTTTCGGAAGTTTGCCACATTATAGGGAGCGAAGTTGATACACATATCATGAGACTTCAAATCCTTAAGTTCAGACATCATATGAGTATCGGCTAAAATGTTACACAGAAAGACTATATGGTAGTTCATATATTGCAAATCTCATTGGATCGTATGTAACATCTAATTAGATAATTCTGCAAAATGAATAGAGGAATCATTATGCGGATCTTTGCAGCAAAGAGTCTCGTACCGCACTAGTTCATAAAATGTAGTTTTGCCAGTTTGCCATAAATATGGGGTGAATCTTACACAGGCATAATGTAGTTCCAAACCCTCAGGACATATACATAATAATGTGTCCATGAAAAATGTGGTGGCATTAAAATTTTACATGATTGTTTTATCAGTACAAATACAACTATTAAACAGTGTTGTACATAATGTCTTAAAGAAGGTTCTCGTTAGGCACGTCGAGCAGTCATGGCAACTGACATTGTGCTGGTCTTCTGAGGTCGGTAATGCGACACATTCCTGCAGCCAAACACTTGGCTGAAAAGCATCAATGTCACTGAGTTGGTGAGGTAGACTGATCGGCTGTGATACTCACCGGTTCCACCATAACAAGAGGTTTTCTACATCTTGTGCTGCATCCGGTGAAGAAGGAAGTTCGAAATAATCGACAATGTTGTGATAGAATTCATTGTGGTTGAAGTCATCATCAATAATCCGCCATGCGCCTGCACTGGACAATGCAAAACGTAGCTGAATCCATTCTGTCATTAGCAAGTGATCATTATGTGAGCTATGTCCTACCTGAACGGCCGCATATGCAAGAGCTCTAGGCTGCATCGATTTCATTTGCAGGAGGCCTGCAACATCACACTGTGTGCGCCTCTCTCCTGCAGTCCTCTGACGTTTAGGGAGATGGACTTGTGAAGGTGTCTTGGTGCTAGTGTCAGGTTGTGACGTTTCTGGGTCTTCTTCTGCTGAAGTAGGAGATGTAAATATATGTTTGACCGCCTGTGATCTGTTGTCAGTACTGTGGGCATCAAACATAGGATCCTCTGATTAGTATGTACCTTCAGAAGGAGTTCACCTTTGAGGAATCCTTTTGTAGGATTGATTGCGTCGTATTGTCCATCCTTGTATAGAAATGATGGCCAAGAGTATGACATTACATGATAGTCAGGATGGTAAGAGCGAATGGCCTCTCAGACACTGTATATAATTAACAAGTTGCACCCTTGATACAATGAATACTCACGTAGCATCATTCCAGTTGTAATCAACAGGGCATAGTAATCTCCCTGTCACGTCATGGTAGAACCCACAACCAGATTTGTCTCGACACTGAATGGAGGGTTTTGGAGTCGGTACCATCTGCATCAACCACACAGCGATGATAAACTTGAGGCTCGTAGTGTCATCTGCTCTTGCGGCATCAGCACCACGATTAAGTTAATGAAATCTAAGAGTTAATGAGCACGCTGTTGTTGTAAGGTCTCACACCTTGCTATATAATTCAGCCAGTTCAAAGCTGTCGGCCGAGGATTATACGAGCTTTCGCACTGAAGGGCACCATACTAGGAGCTTCTTGTATGTTCAGTACCGTCTGTTCTCTCTAACAATAAAAAGTCAGTTCCTGTTCACGTATGAAGTGTGCACATACATGGGGTCTGAGGATTCAAGTGCATCAGCTTCCGATGTATCAGATGCACCAAGGGCAACACGTCTATCGAATTCTGCAACCATGTCATCAACACGCTCAGTGAGACACACCAGTCTTCGTATCACACGGCCTTCAAGAGTGTGATTTTTGCTGCCAATGATGCTTAGCATATAGCAAGGTCAAAAATGTTGACATACGTGGTCTTTTCACTGGCAGTTGGCATGCGAAGCTCAGCGTTCTGCTCCTCCAGGAGAGCAATACGCCTTTTTAATGATAATATCTGGGTCTCATCAGCGCAAGATGGAGGTGAGTCTAACATAGTGGAAAAGTGTTGCAGCATTACCATGGGCCACGTACATATAGTACCCAGAAAACAGCAGCCGATTGCTTTGTTCGGATCCATACAGACCGCATCAGACAAGGTTCAGAGTTTCCCGTTGACCCTGGCCTTTGTAATGTTCCTTCTCCTCTGGGAATCTAAAGTTTTTGAAAAAAAAAGAAATGGAGGTGGACACACAGATTTACAATAGTACGTCTCCGGAGCTTCACTGTCACTAGTCATGTGGAATGATTTGGGAACTATCCCAATACAGTTTCAGTCATCTTGAACCGATCTGCTGATTTAACAGTAGTAATAAGTATAGAAGTACCGGCTTGGACACTGAATTTCTCAAGCACAATATACCCAATGTCCGAGTCATCAATACTCGCCGACTTGGAACTTGAGATCCACCCAGATATTTCCTATCCATCGATCAATGAAATTTTGGCTGATCTTGAGAAGATGAAGCCACGAAGAGGGTGGATCAGAATTTTTCACGGTCCTATGACTTCAATGGGCATCAGAACATTAGACGACATGGAAATAATTACACCGGAATGTCTTACCATTTTCTACCGGCTCTGTCCAGTTATGGTGATGGACTTATATGTCCACATCGCCAATTGCTTTGACAAGCTTGAAGCTGGTAATCTGAAGGCTTGCAATACGAGGTGAGAGCACATCTTTGATGCTGTAAAGTTGAAATATAATACTCACAGCAAATCAACTGCATACAGAGACACACGCCTGCAGACTGCATCTGAGTGAGCGAGGTGGAGGAGAGTGCAAGTCTGAGTGGGCGTACAGCTGTCAAATTATGCAGGTGGTACAACGTGACCACTAATGCCTTCAATTCACCATAGTGTATACGAGGGTTTGTGGGGCGGAGATGAGGTTGGTCGAGGTCAGCATAGTGTATTGAAAGATTTGATAGCGCTGCAGAAAGTAATTAATGTAAAATGCTGTAGATCGAAGTGAAAGGAATCATACCGGCCCTTCTCCTTGTCGAGTTTATTGTCCATGTTCTTTGACAAATTCTTGTATTCCTATGGACTTTGACACAATGTCTGTGTCACCACTAGGTTCTGCAAGTGTCAAAGGAGCCTGCATTATCCCTGCTCGAGATGAATCATGAGGCTACCTTGGCACATACCTCTGAAAGGGTAAAAAAAAAGGTTGAAGACTAGATAAATGAAGATACTTACCTTCCAAGTTTTAGTGAGCAACTCAGTGTCGTCACTCATCTAGTAGATTCTTCTAGTTGACATGGTTGTGTGCAGCGACGCGCCTGTGACACCATTGACATGGTCATGACGCGTCTGTGACACCATGTCTAGTGCACATTGTGTTCGGCCGACAATACAATATTGGTCAGAATGACATATGTAAAAAGGATTCAAAAAATGATAGTCACGGAGCTCAGCACTGGTTACACCACCCTGAATAGTATAAATCTGATGGCAGCATTAATCAAAAGGAGACAAAGTTCATTGAAGGCTTGAAGAAAGTTTTGGAAGGCAAAATCACGGCACAAGCCATACTGCATGGAGTATTCAAGTTGTCCACAAGGTCTGCAGTAGAATGTAAGGTCTGGAAAATATGATTCAAATACATGTGCTTTCCGAGAAGAAAGCCACAAACATGTCATTTGATTCCCGCCCTTCAGACTTTAATGATGCCGCTGAGGCTCTCTTGATGAATTTTCAGGGTGGCAGCACTACTCCATCGAGTCACGGCGAGAACTGCAACAGGGGAGGAGGAACTGGGCAAGGTCTCCCTACCTATTCTTGTGGATATTATAATTACAATAAACTGCCGCGCTATCAAGTTCAGGCTGAAGCTACAGACCTACTAAACAAGGCAGCCGAGTCTAACGTTGCAGACAAGCTTCAAAATGACTTGGACTCCGCATCCAAACTCAAACTCGTATGTAATTAGATCAAACACATACAGTAGTCATCCTCATCATACTCATTTGTAGGATATTCAAGTTTGGAAATCTCAGTGTGCAAGTCCACTACTGCTCACTCCGACTCGGCAGAAGAGAAAGCGCTCTGAGTCTAACTTCATTCAAGTTGAAGAACACACTCAGGCTGTCACGGTAAGTAGTACTACTCAGGATTGAATCAACCTGACCAATGACAACTGCAAACAGCCTCGGCGCTACTTTGACCATGACCTTTTCAATGGACAGCGGGGGACATCAGTACCGGCAGCCCTTGAAGCACCACGGAAACGGCGGAAGTTAGCACGTGCATTCGAGTTTGAAGCTCCGAGTCCGAGTCTGTCAGTAGCCGAGGCACTGCTGAAAGTTGCGGGAGGGATTGAAGCAGCAATCGATAGGCAAACACAACTTCTTTCGTCGATACTGAATGCTATGGAATGTCAGGGAGGTAGTACTAGCAATTAGTGTATGTAGAATATCATCAAAGTGTTTCATTGTACTCACATACAAGCGTTCTGTTCACCTGCGGAAGTGAATTATACTTGGGAGTAGTAAGCTTAGATGTGCGCAAGCACACAAAAAATGACTCAAAAATGAAGTCACAGTGCTGAAATGCAAAAGAGACACCGGCACTAATAAATATATAAATACTTGTCGGTGATGTACATACATAAATAAGTAAAACGACGCACCTATAGCTAGCCCTATAGGTTCTGAAAGTTGACTTCATAGTACAAAGAACCTTTGGCTCCGGATACGTCTGCACTGCACACGCTTGCTGGTGAAGGGCTGAGAGTGTGTGCAGGAATGTGGCCACATGAATTTTGAGGCCTGGCCAGTGGATGAGTGTGACAGAAACGCCCTTGAAGAAGTTCTTCAACTGCCTGAACTGCGGCAAATCTGGGTGGAGGTCCAGTGCATGAACATCGTTCTGCTTGAGAACAGCAAGAGCGGTGGTCTGAAAGCTACCCTGCTTGAACCTGAGATTTAGATGAGGGTTAATGTATAGCGATCATTGGAACAGGCTTGCTTACATAACCACTGTCGATACATCAATGTTCTTTGAAATGGTAGGGTGAACACTCCTACTGTATGTTGGTCAAATGTGCGTCGCCACAGAGATCCTGAGCTTACTGGAAGTAACCACGCCACAGTTCTAAACCTCCACCCAGGGTCTGTATCCCGGCATCTAAATTAACAAAGCACGAGGCAGCCGCTAATTATGAAAGTGAGCATATATGCGTACGGGACCTGATCATAAACATACCTTTCACAGCAGCGGGGTTCTGCATGAGTGTAGTGAGCATCATAGTAGCTTCGTACTTTACTGCGTGTGACGATGAATTCAATAATTCAAACATGCATCTGATATATTGGGGCTGCAACGACAAAAATGAGGATAAACAAATGGCCTAAATGAAAAGGACTTACTCAATGCGTCGTGTCGTTCTTAGAGCACAAGAAACAATGCACGCGTGAATCCGTCGATGATAGATGGTGGAAGCTCGGTGCTGAGTGACATGGATGGTGGAGCACGAAAGATGGGGGAACACTGAGCAGAGAGCCAGAAAGTGATGGCCGTAGCACTGTTAGCGTTGTCATCTTCGAACTTGATGCGTTGTGATTTGTATGTTCGAGTTTCGGAGGAAGTGCTGGCACTTGGCGTGCACATATATCCACCCTATCAAGATATTCGAAAGATCAGCGTGGGGTAAACAGGTCGAAAGACGAGAACACGCACATACTGAGAGCCAGACGTAGCCAGAGCACCATCAGCGTGGGGTAATCAGGTCAAAGGACGAGAGCACGCACTTTCTGAAAGCGGGATGTGGCCAGAGTGCCATCAGCGTAAGGTAAGCAGGTCAAAGGAGGAGAACACACACAAACTGCGAGCAGGACGCGGCCAGAGCACCATCAGCGAGTATGCAACGTAGTAAAAGACAAGAACACGCACATACTGAGAGCAGGACATAGCCAGAGCACCATCAACATCAGGTAAGCAGGCCAAAAGACGAAAACACTGCGCACTTTCTGAGAGTAGGATGCAGTTAGATCCTCTTTGTAAAACATATCTCAAACAGAGTAGCATGTATGTTTGCAATGTCCGAGAATGCAAGTGTATCAATCTTCGCTGCAGGATTCTCCGAAAGGCAGAAGGCCCATAGAATAAGAGCTGCGTTGATGAAGAGTGTCCGACTAGGAACATATCAGTCCCCCATCCAGAGTCGAGTCTACATGTGCAACATACCAAATATCCAATTAGTAGGTTGCACATCGCGGCCTTCTCGTTGAGGTAGTCCATGTACGTTTGACTAAACATCAATCTGTGAGTGACCTGAAAATTAGATTAGAGTCAACCACTCACCAGCGGCCAAAACCAAAAGTGAAAAACTTGAGATCACCGCGCACACGACCTGCATCGTCGATCCAACGCTGAGGATTAAACTTGTGTGGTTCCGTGTACGCCCCACGACATTATCGAGTTCCTCTTGTATGCGAGCCTGCGCATCTGTGTGAGTGGCAGCAGCCATCATTATGATTGTGATTGCGAACGCAGTCACAGTTGTCAACTTAAGACGCAATGCAATGTAAGAGCTCACCATTTCAGAACTGGCCCCAAACATTGTTCCTGCAATGTATCCCAAATCCTTGTCTTTGAAGTGGGTAACAACTTAGATCAGCATAGCTCGAGCTCGAACGAAGATCAACGGACTCACGAACTGCGAACGGTGGGTGTTACGGACTAGGATAGTTTGAGCTCTCCCTAGGCGGATTGCCTAATCTGATAGCGGGCTTGCTACTGGAGAGACGGGGATCTTCTCTCGAATGAGAGGTTCAGGGATTCCACTTAAGGTAGCGTCGGCTTTCCTTAAGGTGCGGCTTAGACTGAAGGACTGGGACTGTCTTTCAGAGGAAGTTCTGGATAAAACCTAGTAGAATCAAGTAGGGAATATACATGATTCTGTCTGCTCTATATACTGTCGTCCGTGTGCACAGACCAATACTACGTTCGGTAGGTATGAGTGTGTCTATACAAGGGCATCTTTATCTGATGCCATGCGGGCGATTATCTACACATGAGGCTTACCATGCCTCTTCTATCTGTCCTCAAGGCGTAGCATGTCTTGGAGTCTAACTGCGCATGCTAAGGCATGCAGCTTCTCTTCTGACCATGAGGCAGAGCTTCCTTATGATCCGGGTCGAGGACCATCTAGGTCCGTTCAGATGTAACCTAGGCTGGTCTAGGTCATCTAACGGCATCCAGGCCGTTTCTAGGCGTCTCTACGAGTCTCTGTTGAGTCGGTAAGTCTTCCAAGACGGTGCATATGGTGGGATAGGGGCTAAGGTCATGATGACCTCCGTAGGAGGGGTTCTCGGTTACATGTTATTGTAACAGTGGGCAACAACTTGTATCAGCATGGCTGTTGCTCGAATGAGGATTGACACACTCACGACCTGCGAACGGTGGCCAATGTCTTGGATCAGCACAGCTCTTGTTCGAACGAGGAACGGTGGCCAACAATTTGGATCAGAATGGTTTGAGCTCGAAAATCTTGACATACTCACTTCCTGCGAACAATAAGCAACGACTTTGATCAGCATGGCTCATAACATTCCCAAGTAGTACTTACCTATATTGATCATTAGCAAGAGTTCAAAGTGTTTGGAATTCATATAGCGACATACATGTTGTGACGGTGCAGTACTGTGTCACAGCGCGTCACGAATGTGGCAGGCGCAACAGGACTTGTGTTAAAAATCAAGTCTGTTTATGAATAATAACAATACCACTTACACTCTATGGCCTCAGTGGGAGACAAAAAATCGGCAGAGGTCCTGTAAAAACTGAGATTGCGATGATGAAAAAGAGAGAAGACAACATGATTGTAGTAGTAAGAAGATAAGATGAATGTAGTTGTAGGACTCATAACTCGGATATGTCGACTCGTTGTGTCAGCCGCTGGGCTTACATAATCTGGTTGGAGTTTTGAATGTTAATTTCATTCATGACCGAGCGCATACCCTTCCTCTTAACGTCCATCGCCGCCCGGTGACTGACTGGTCCCCCGATCGTCTATTTCCTGATGTTCTCCACGATTTAACTGTGCTACTCATTCAATTCACATTACCTCTCCACCCTCTCTTTTTGGTTGGCCGGCTGATAGGTAAACTTTAGTCCATCTTTACTTTAATTGTTTGTTGCGGCCCATCCACTACTGTCCTCGCCGGCCTTTTGTAGGTGAGCGAGGTTTGGTACACCATGCGAGGTTGGACAAGCCTTTTGTAGGTTATTCGACTGTTACATGTGTGGTGGGGCCTCTTTTTGAAACTTTTTTGTTGTCATTTGCCTCAACACTTTCCTTCTGACTGTGATACGAGTTTCTAGATGGTAGCCTCTAGTGTCACCGACGAAGATTATGGGCCTGTCAATGGGGCTGATGCCGATGCTGATATTTGGACTGACGAAGATCTACTCATATTCTTAGGGGATGAGCCCTCCTCTCCGGAGTCTAGCCAGGACCCAATGGTTAAGATACATGATGGGTGTCCACCACCCCATAAAAAACGGTGCATTCATTTTAATTCTTGCTGTAATGTCACTGATTTCCTTTCAGTCGCACCCAGAAAGCTGAGGCTAATCAATTTCGAACGAAGCTTCGGTCAATGATGGGAAGGTTGGTGCAAAAGGCCCAAGTGTCCCAAGGTAAATGGTTTCTGTTTTTTTCTCACTGAGATTGACGGCCAAAAATTAGTTGAATTTTCCAGCTTCAAGTTCCATGATGCTGTGAAAGAGCGGGCCTATCGGCACCTCACACCACCTCATTGGAACCAATCAATGGAGAACTTGCGTGAGTGGCTTGATCCCAACCAACCCCGGTTGGCAGTCAGCACTGATGGAGTGCCTCTTGTGTTACACATTCCCAATGCTATTAATGAATGAGGACGGGTATGGTTACTGATTGATTAATTTTGAGATACTCATTGTGTGGTGCAGGAGGCCTTATACCAGTCTGTGATGCAGTTTGGGATGGCTGTCCCCCTTAAAATGGGAAAAGGGGCGGACAAAAAAGGGCGAGATCAAGAGGAATCATATCATGTAGTGGCGGGCCAGCTGGCTGGTAATGTTAAGTTGGTTTCAGCTTGGCATGCCGTGGGCCAACAGGTAATATGCTATAATCATTCGGATATTCATCTAATCCCTTGTTTTATCTAGAACAAGGAACCTGTTATTTCCGCCGATGTTATTTCCAGTGCCCAACAATTTTCTCTCTCCACCCAGCTGGTATCCGATCTCGAACTCTTGAACTTGAGAGTCAATGCTCTTTTGGAATTTGTAGACCCGCCGCAATTCTTGGCTATGACTAAGTTTGCGGTGGCTCTCCGCAATAAGTATGTGCACGTCAAAGCCTGGTCAGCAATAGATGGACTCCTGTGGGAAGGTAGGTCGATCCAGTTCAATAGGCAAACACCACTGCATCCAGACAGCACCGATCCTTCCCAGTGTTGGGTAGCCTTGGTGGCTCTAGGAACTTTCAAGGGTGGTCATCTTTTTATACCTCGTCTCAATCTTAGGCTGTGGTATGAGCCTGGTACTATCATTTTACTTTGTGGACACATTCTCCCCCATGTTGTTGAGGCATTTTTTGACGGACAGAGAGTTTCTATAGCCCATTTCACTCATGAGTCCTTGTGGAAGGCTCTGGGTCTATCACTTCCATAGCTTAGTCTTACAATTTTTGTTTACTTCCTACTTGAGATAAGTTACTTGGCACGCATGTTTCAATTAACATTGCTACTACTGTGATACACAAAAAGACTAAACCACGCTCTACGATCCATATACCTCAGATGGGAATTCGACCAAGGCTACAGAATGGATTGCGAATGATATTGATACTGCAAGAAGAGATCAGCTTGAAATGCGCAATTGCATTAGTCTCTACTCATGGAGTCATAAAGACGCATCCAGTTGGAGCCAAAGGAGGTATCAATGAGACGGTCAATATATTCACCCACAAGGGAATGAGTCAAAGCGGGTTGTACAGTAGTTAGTCGTCATCTGGCACTCAATGAGCGCAACCCACCGTCACCAATACTATCCTGGAACCAACCTCAGATCTGATATTCTGCAAGCAATCGTGACGTCGACTCACTTGTAGAGCGATCTCAGTAGCAACAAAAGCAAACAGACCGCAGAAAGAACTGTTGGTTGCTACTGCCGTCAATGAGCGACCAGTATTTGCGTCGACAATGCATGCCAGCGTGCTCGCGTAGATCCATCTATCGCAGATGAGAGCAAAAGACAGTGTGAAAGGAAAGAAACATACATGGATAAAACATACATGTAGTGAGTACAAGGCAAGACCAAAGTAGATGATGTGCTCAAAGGCAGGGTGTGAAGTTAGGAATGAAAGTCTTCATGGTGGCGACTTGGATAGATCTGCACCATGGATGATCCAAGTCGATTCAAGAGGTTGCTTATGTCATTATTTGGCTGTAAGAATTCGGTATACATAGAGTATACTTTCTGAAGGATGGTCTTGTCTTTGTTGTGGCTCTACTTTCAATTATATGCACTAGCAATTTGGCAGGCTTCCTCAATGCTTCCCCTCGAATTAGAGAGGGAGATCTTTTCTCTTGCTAGTACAGACTCCACGCAAATGGCCTGCTCTTTCCTCCTTGTTTCTCAGACAGTACATTACTGGTGAGTCCCTCATCTTATGTTTGGCTGAGGAGAGCATTTACTCAGTACTACTACTGTGGCAGGATTGAAAAACTTCTGTATCGTACAATTGTTCTACCGAATGAAAATGTCGCCACCCGCTTTCTGTCATCGGTTTACTCTCGGCCTCACCCCCACAATTTTGCTCGCCAGGCTGTAAAATCTTTGTGCTTGAAGGGGAACATATGTGTCAGTATAGCTGCAGAGATCATTTCACTCTGCAGAGGTACTACGAACCTGGCACTATGGATAGGCCCATCTGATTTGGACCAGAAAACAAATCCTCTCCTGGTGCCCTTGGATGAGCTCGTGCTGACATCACTCTCACTCAGCATATCATTGTTATTTAGTCACACTCCATCTTTCTCGCTTTCCACACTTCAAGTCTTTCGTTCTCTGACTCATCTGGAGATTCTGAATGGCTGGGTGCTGTGGAGTTCTACAGTGGGTGTGGAGCATCTTCATGGACTGACACATTTGTGCCTGCATATTCACACACGGAGGACCAAGCCAGGATTGGTGATACCCCTTCTTAGCCATCCATGCATCCGAGTACTAGTTTTCCGCATCTCAGAAGGCATCAATGTAGTGCAAGCGTTCCTTGAATCCAATCTTCTCAGCAACTTTCGCATTGTCCTGGTATCTCAAGATTTCATTAGCCATGGTGATTTTGGACGTGGGGACATATCATCTCTCTGGACGGGCGCTGAGAAAATAGTAGATTGGAGGCGGGTTAGCCAAGGTATGTCTTTCATCACAAGTACGCTAGTAGCCAGCTCACCACATCAGCAGGAGGGCCTTTTAGTATACCAGGCCCCATGAGAGATATTGAATGTGAGCATATTTTTCTGCCGCATGATTGATGCTGAGACTGGGACCAGAACTCTACAACACTCAAATTGATGAGATGCCTTTCAATGTTGTGTAAGTATTGTACTGCTGGATTGATTGTATCTGGGCTCTGACAGGTACTTTTCCACTGATTGTGTATAGCTTCTCTTATAGATCAGACTGTTATGATGCTGCTCCGAAATTGTTACATCCATTCTATGATCACTTGACCGTATGTCATGTAAAATGTTTCGGGTCTGCCAAGTATATACTTTATTTTTTTGTACTGTTACTTTAGCTGCATGCATATCACACCCGTCCTTTCATGTTTCACTGCACTTACCCCGTGATATGGCTTCCTGAGAGACGATAGCTGGGTCTAAAGGAGTCCATGACCGCTGCAGACCTGGTGCCGGGGGTCTTGCTATGCGCCAGGCATGACTCAGATAACTCGGATCACTCGGATCCTACTACTTTCCTGTACTTTGTCTTTCCTTTAGCATGAAGAGGCCATGAAACTTATTCTGAAGCATTTGGCATCTTTTCTGCTGGTCTTCTTCGCTTTGATGAGCACTCACTTCGTATGTGGAGGAGAATGTAGCCGATCGTTCACAGGACCGAGTGGCTTGACCCGTCATCGTCAGAACTGTAAGCACTGGAAGAATCAGTTGAATCTGCAGTCCCAACATTTCAAGCGTATATCGGCATCTATGCAGGAAGCTCCTGCTGCAAAGAAAATAAAGCTCAGTGTTGCCCAGGTAAGTAAGTTCAGCATGCTTTGGTCCCTGCTTATTTAGAGATAAATAGCCAACCCCTGCCTTCACTGGCAGCTTTCCACCCACAAATGCCATAGTGTCCGAGTCTCTTGATGGTCCCGTGCCTCAGTTCACCACCAGCATTGAGGGAGAAGCCTCATCTAGTACCTCGGCTTGTAATGCCCCACAAGACCCAGAGCCTGAGGCCGGTACATCAACTCATGCTCCAGACTTGGAGATGCAGTGGGAATGTGGAGCTGTCCCTACCTCTAGACCCTCTAGACTGCATCGGCAACCTTTACAATTTAGAGACGAACTTCCAGTACCTCCACCTGCCATCGAAGAACCACCTCCAACAGCACTTCGTCGTATCATTCTTCATGTTTTTGATTCTTTTCGGACATCACTCAATAAATTCGGAATTGGAAGGGAGTATCGCCACCGTCCATCATATGACCCGGATGCCTTTGTTTCTGTCGACCAGCTATCCAACATTCCATCTGATCCCCAATCCATCAGCGAGCCAGCCCCGGGCCACCATTCAACTGGCAGTCCACCTCCATCGCAGTTGCCCCCTTGGCCATGGAAGAATATGAGCATTTGGCATCTCATGACATGGAAGATGACCAGTACTAGCGGGTTGACATCTGAAGCCCAGGTCACCCGCCTCGTTAGTGACGTACTGAAGGCCAAGGATTTCAGTATTGGTGATCTACCAGATAATCTAAACATTCACACAGAAATGATGCGCTTTGACACCTCTGACGGAACACTGGACCCCAATGGTATCTTCCAAAGAGATGGCTGGAGGGAGTCAGCTGCCGAATTATTAGTTCCAACCAGGGAGAAGAACCCAGATGGAAATGGGCAATTATTTACTGTCCCGGGTTTTCATCACCGTCTGCTTGTGGCAGTTATCCGTGCTGCCTTCTCAGAGGCGTCATCGTGCTGGTTTCATTTCACTCCATTCAAACGCTTTTGGAAATCACCTTTGACTGGTCAAGAGCAGCGAGTGTATGATGAGCTCTACACATCGGATGCCTGGAACAAAGCTCACGATGAGCTCCAGAAACAGAAGAGGGATGGTAGCTGTAAATTGGAGTGGGTAATCGCTGGACTGATGTTCTGGTCCGATGCAACACACTTGACCCAGTTTGGGAATGCTTCCGCATGGCCAATATATCTTTTCTTTGGAAATCAATCAAAATACATGCGTGCGTGCCCAACTACCAATGCCTGCCACCCGATCGCATTTATCCCTTCTGTAAGCTTTACATCCTTCCCATCTGAAAGTTCTAATGTGCTTTATCTCTAGCTACCAGAGTCCATTGTGCGCTTCATTAGCATGTTCATCAAGAAGAAGAACATCAAAGACATCCTCGCTCATTGCAAACGTGAACTTTTCCATGCGCTGTGGCGCATCCTGTTGGATGATGAGTTTGTGTTACAGTAACATTTAACCCCTATACTCATTTCTTTTATCTCACTTACGAAACGGGCCGTCCGTACCATGCTTATCTCTTATCTTCGCTATCTGCGCCAAGCGGGCTGTCCGCCTTATCTTTCTCTTATCACGCTTCTATCTTGATAACACATTTACAAGCTCCGCTTGAACACTTGTATATAAACCTAGCTACCTACGGTTGTATTCTTTACTTTAATCTACTGGGTTTTACCTGGAACATTGTCCTTCAGTAAGGTCTCCAACCTTACTGTCTAAGAACCACTATTCTAAGGGAGTCAGCGACACTCGCCTTAGCCAGAACCTTTGATCTCTCATTCGAGAGCAGACTCACGTCTATCCGGTATCTTACCGATTGTCTACTCAGACAAGGATAGCTCGACTCATCCCAGTCGTAACAACCACCCTTGCATAGACTGTTGGTGCATAGTACTTTTTCGATGTTTGGACTTTTTGACTTTCCCACGACCTATTTCTTATCTATTGGATTCCCCTGCTGTCAATTATTCATGGATCCTTCTGATAGTCGAGGACTGTATTACTTGGTATATATAGTGTACTCCAAGATAGTCTGATCATAATATTTTACTATATTCATGTCTGGGAATTCTTATCAGTGAGAATAGGAGATATGTGCTTGATATCATTACTCTGACATATTTCTACCTGATCATGGCCTTGGGAAGGCTTCATATATGTACTATAAGTGATATATGAACAGCTGGTATAGTCTATGTAGTGAGAATGTAGTGAAAAACCTCAAAAATGCGAAAATATGGTACATTGTAGGCAAAAAGTGACTTTGGATTGTAGACAAGGATCCTGGTATTGTTCTGGTATACCTATGTAATAAATATATTCCATATGTTCATAGTAAAAGACTACCTACCATCCTAGAGGGCCGGAGCTGCAGGAAAAATTTTCTCAGGGAGTGAACCACCAGGAAGATGACAATACATATGACCCTAGGGACTGATCCTGCTGACCTATACTCTTGATATGATGTATATACTAGTAAAGAGATGTTAGAAATAATATTCACCAGTCTATATACCTAAACACTAAAAAATGCGAACTGGTTTATGTTTTTTGAGAGGTATTCATGAATTTAACATATCTACTGATGTAGGACACTACAGAGGCTCAAACAAGCGGTGTAATATATTCATTAACACTCTAATATATGATATATACAGTCAGAATTGCTTCCCTGCTAAAGGGGCAAAAAACCGAATATGTTTTAGTCCTGAGATGCACATATTGTAGTCAGCACTGTAGACTGCTGTACAAGCTCTCAGACAATGAAAAAAGTGGTCTATTGTATCATTTTATGTATGTACATGCCATTCTACTACTTATATACATGAGTGAGCAAGGGGAAAGCTCTGGTGCAGCAGTAGAGCCAGGGAGGTATGTGGGAATAGTGAGATTATTGGAATATCCCAATTTGGTAATTTTTCCGGTGGTAGCGCTATTCTTGGAAGCCTGAGAATCACCAAAGGAATCAGAAGCCGTTAAGCTTAATTGTAGGGGATTGATAGTTTACAAACAAACTTACAAAACCATACCGTTTCTAGTCAGTGAGTATTATGCTTAATTTTAACAGTATAGCCTGGAAGCTCACCATTGCTTAGCAAGCTATCCAGGCATCACCGTCAATTTAGCCCACTATCTTGAACAACACCATGGTGACCCCGCTGTCTTAGTAAGCTGTGTTCACATGTGATGGTTTTGACTCTTTCCTTAATATCATCTGACAGAACTTTGTTCCCAAACTCAAAGACCACCTCCTTTCCCGCTTACTGTGTTTGGACTATGACGGTGATGAACGAGACTTTATGGATGCGGAACGAAATGACGTGCGCTTCATCAACAATCTCAACAGCGCCAAGTTTTGATGGTGCTCGCACTCTAGACAGTGATGAGTGTAGTGACTCCGAGGATGAGAGGTCTAGTACTAGTAGATTCAAGTTTTGATGGTGCTCGCACTCTACTTTCTTTGTTTATTCACTCATACATTGATGCTCTCGAGTATTTCGTACTTCGCCACACTCAATCCAACTTTAATGTTCCTCGTATGCTATATTGCAATACATTGATTCCCATACATTTGCGTCAAAACCAGCAAGATATCTGATAAAGGGATACATATGAATTATATTCAAATCTACAAAATTCTATCTAGTAGTCAACGCATCAAAAAGCATACACCGTGTTATATGTTCTAGCCACAATGATTGACTTAGGCAGTGGCTTAATATGTCGTTTTTTATTTTAGTATATTTGACAATGCTATCACATCTTAGAAAGTAACTGTACTCATCATACAACAGCGACAGTTAGTGATAATCTGTGGGCAGGTACCATAGTCATGACCAGTGTTGCCAGTGAGATATAATATGACTATATAGCTAGGTATTTTCTGCAGGAAATTGTACCATGAAATCGTTCAGGTCAGGAACAGTGGAAATCGTGAGCATCTGTGTGTCTCTCGATATATCATTATAATTGCTTATGAAGTGCTGCGTGCAGGGAGAATATTATCAAAGGGCGACAGTATGGCACACTATTATATTCCATTATACTAGCATGTCATCGCCACACAAAATTGGGTAAAATTATCATTTATGTATTGTCATATCATGCTAAGTGAATTTCAGTGATGTCCCTTGGCTCTACGCTTCGGCCGGTTGCTGCCTCTCCCTCTCGGCTCTCATCCGTTCGGCCTTGTCTCCTTCGGATTCGTCGGATCCCAACAACAGGGTTTTCACGTTCAGGCTATTGCCCATGTAGACAATGCCATCAATCGTCACCTGCTGTAAAAAACCATGAGCTGAGCTGAGAGTGGAGATCGGTGCCTCGTTCCATAATAGCAGAAGTATCCTGAGCCCAGTGTAGCCAGTAGAAGTTAGACAGAAAGCAGATATCGGAATGTCACCTACCTGGACGAGGTCGCGGCTGCGTGAATCGTTGAACTTTGAACACTCGTGTAAGATATCAGCCTTATCCCTGGACTGAGTATTGATTTCGACTTACGGAAATCTTTTTGACAACACCATTCTTAACCTTGCCCAGCAAGCGACAAATTTTGCCATGGGGCGAGTCGGCCTTAGAGAAAGGACGGATGCCATTGAGTTTCAATCTCATGAATATCATCCACTTACCCGGGGCTCAGCAGTATTTTGTGTCGTTGGGTGTCTCGATGTCTGGAGGAGGAACTGACCTCGACTCAGGGTTCCCCAATTGACTGGGGTTGTTCATGGTGAATAGCTGAGTTTAATGGTCCAAGTAGTGTAAGTAGTGCTGCCGTGGTCCGGTTCAGTCCGGTTCACAGAGGGTCGAGTGAGAACCAAGAACCGGACCTAGGTCCAGTTCTACCAGACTCGACGAACCTCGAACTGGACCTTGGTGAACGGTTCAGAATGGTCAGGTCGGGTCATTTTCAGGTTCGAACGTGAACCGAACCAGATTTATTTACAATGAGCAAAAAAAACATAGGTAGGACTCCTACTCATAGCTACACATCCAACAAGACAGCTGCTTCTGCCTCGACTGTCACAGAAACATGGCCATTCCTATATGCCGCCTTTAACAACTGTAGCGAGCCAAACGTGGATGACAAAGCAACAAAGAATAGAGGAAATACTCTGCATGTATAGTGTCATAGAAGACTCGCGACTCTTCAATCCAAAGGGACGGAGTCAAACACCATAGTTGTGCATATATAGGATCAACTTACCTGAGAAGACCCTCCAGCGGCATGGCATTCACTTTCAGAGGAGCAACGACGATCTCAGCCGAGTTTCAGCGTATAGTCAAGCCAGTACCATTTCTCAAATTCGTCATCTAGCCACGGTGGTTGGACATCTCGAGGTGAATGAAAGTTAATATCAGCTATAAGACCGTCAAAACACTGATTGAAACAAAAAAAATAAGAATTTAGTTGTGGTATAATTTTAGTACAGCTCACTCGAGGACACTCCGGCATTTTCCCATCATTGATAGAACAACTATACTCATGAGCTAGGGATAGCGTCGGACTCCTGTGAACAAAAATCCAATTAGTGTATAAGAGCATGGTGAAGAGCAGACGCACCTTCTTGTTGGAAATAAACCCTCCCCACTTCACCACGGGCACTCATTAAATGTCGTACTTTTACAGGACGCATGCCAGGAGGTATTCGTGAGATGTAGATTACGCCAGTGCGGGCTTGCGCAGCATTGAATGTTGCCAGCGCCTCAGGCGTCAAAGGCTGCTCGAACGAGGATCGACACTCACAAACTGCGAATGGTGGGCAATGATTTGGATCGGTGGGAGAGTTAGCACGAGAGAACGGGCACAAGAGGACAGGTACGAGAGAGCAAGCATGAGAAAACGGGCGCAAGATAGTGAGCACAAGCGAAAGAGTTAGAGCGTGCATCAAATTAATTGAAGATGAAGTCACTCACCTGACACCTCAAACTCAGTGGTTTTGGTTGCCTTGGTCTTTGTCGGCGCGTTGACTTTAGGGGTGGAGGCGGTGGTTTCGCGGGAGTGGGACGATGGGTTTGCGGGAGGAGTTGCACAACGAGACGTGTGGTCTGATTCGTCAGTTTGAATAGTGCATATCATGACTTACCTTGTCAATAGGCCTCTGCATTTGATGGAAACAAGTAAATCTTGAAGCTTGAGAATCTCTGAGGCCGAAGTGGATCATCAAAGGAAGGTGTCAAGGCGCGCTTCAACAATGTGGCAAGCTTCTTTCGGTTTGCGGTTCGGAACGGTTCGGGACCGGTCCGAACCAAAGTTGAACCGTTCGCCCAATGGCAGAACCGAGAACCGTACTATGGTCCGGTTCTGGCTGACATCTGGACCGTGGACCGAACCACAGGAGAACCGGACCAAAAGTCCGGTTCGAACCATGGTTCAGGACCGGACCACGGCAGCACTAAGTGTAAGACAAGAAGTTGGAGAATTAGGGTGCGCGCTGGCCTTGAGGCAATGTTTGCTGCTATGTTGACTTTAGGCGTAAGCGCTTATACTGATTAATGATTAATGCAAATGATTCATTGCCATGTATAGCATGGCCAGAAATCAGTGATATTCGTGTTACACAATGTGTTCATATTTGGTGCCAACACTGCTTCTGCCAAAGATGGAATCCATCTACTATTGTCGCGTCATGGCACGTCCACACCTACTGAGCTCAAGCTTCAAGCTTGTACCATTCCTTTCTTCGTGTTGTCCCATGTTAACATGAATTATTGTACCTCCGAATCTCATATTCGTCTGCTTGTGAAGAGTTATGTAACCCTCTAAGCACAGCCCAACCTAGCCACAGACGGAGCTTCAAGCCAGGGAACAAGTTCATCAATTTTCTAACACAAGAACCGCCAACTTGATCTATGCACAAATATTTACCTTGATCTTGTTGATATATTGATTACCAAACTATAGCGAGCGCGGCGTACATATAGCGCGAATGTCACCGCTATACGTTTACCAAGTTCACCTCTCACCCACACCCATTCTCTACCAATATGTCAACAATCTCAAATGATCCCGCGTGGTGGCCGTCCATCGATGTATATCGTTTTGCCAGCTATTTTCCAGGTTCGTAGAGAGCAATCGGATGTTGAAGCTGAGCACTGACTTCGATGTCTCAATCTAACCTTGGCTCCAGTATCGCAGTTGCCGCCTTTGTTGGGGTGACGTATGATTGGTGTGAGCACGATAATATTAGAGGATTGCTGATATCTTACAAGTATTTTCAGCGCTCACATTCGGACAAGAGGTATGTCGATGCCATGACCGGAGCAGCCATCTCGCTAAGAATTCTTTTATAGGTCGAACTCGTCTGGGTGAGCAGAGTCTCATGGCAGAGGGAACTCACATGAAGATACACTTATTTACAGAGGCAACACTGGTCCCTGATGACAGTTCTGTACCTCAGTGTATGTAGCTTGAGTGTCGCAGTTATCAGGATGTGCTGACTTGAAAGTATTCTAGGTGTGCTATCTTGGAATCTTATATGCTGCATATGTTCAGAAGACTAAACAATCGATGTTGTGCTAATCATCTATGTCTCGTAATCAGCATGGCTATCCTGGGTATGTCGCCTTAGTATATTCACTTTCTTCGTTTCTTCTAACCAGCGGCATGCAGAGAGTGTTCCGACCATCTCGCTGACAGATACAGTGAGTCTTCTGCACAGATGCCTGCCATTCCCCTTCAATTAACCGTGGTGCCCTGTAGCAGTGGGTTTGGTTCTTTACTACCAACTTCTTGGTTCGCTAATAACTACCACACTATACTGCCACAGATGTAAGTCTTTGGAGTGTGTGTTATCCGAGGCTGGTCACTGACTAAATTTGTCAGGCTTCATTATATACATCGTACAGAATTGGATGGGTGTGTTGGTATCTGCACTGCTGTGGGGTGAGCTTGGCGCTTGCGAGACCTCAGGAATAATCAACTTGACTGAAACATGCTGCAAGTCATCATCATCACTCGGTTGCATGCCATGTATCAACAATCCAGAAAGATCCTGATATTTCTCATTGTCACCTTCCTGGCAATCAACACTTTTGTTGGAGTGACAGCCTTAATGTCAACGATGCATACTTCAGGAGGTACGCCTAATTATGGATGGAAACGAACGTGCATAGGGCTCATTGATGGATACCAGAGGAACTCATTCTCTCCGGCACCTACCAGTGCACGATTGGCTATACTAGTGATGTTCCGGCTCGGCTTCAAGCCCCGGGCCAGGCCAAGCCGGGCCTGATTGAGCCAGGCCCAGCCCAGGCCCAGGACACGGCCTGACCAGGGCTTTGGCCCAGGCTTCAATTTTGCGAAGCCTAAGCCGCCGGCCCAAGCCGTGGCTTAGCAGTGCACTATCTATTTCGGTATGTAAGTTTCTGTTTATGTTTATGTTGCCATCTTGCGATCGGTATCAGCTTCTCAGTCAATCATACCATGAGGTATGTCAGAATGAGATCACAGTGAGTCGCCGTTGTCATGTTATTAAAGCTCGCTGATATTTACCCCGGTCTTGAAAAGCAAACATTCAGCAATCCATGCGCCTTTACAGTCTTGCCTGGCGCTTCAACTTCGCTGCCTTCGCAAACTTAATCTGTTTTTGAACCACGTTCGATTTTTTATATGTGGTACGTGTATATGTGTTGTATCTACCTAGCAGCCTGCAATGACCAGCACAGTCCACACAGATAGTGAAGATGAACCTATCGTGCATTCTCGTCCCATACGCAGGATCAAACCCACTGCTGCTCTCCTCCAACACTCGGAGAAGGCCGCCCTTCCATCCCAAACCAAAGCCATCAATGAATTCCGTGCCGTGGAGGCAGCCAAGCGTGCTTTGGAGGTTTCTGCCCAACCCAAGCCCATGCCTCCCCCACCCACAGCTATTTCCTCGTCCAACGTGCCTCCCCCACCCTCACCTATTCCCTCATCCAACAAACGCTTGCATCCTGATGATGCCTTTGTCGACATCGAAGATGAATCTGTCGACGAAGACCACGACTCAGTCCGCGAGAATGCTCGTACCAACCCTAAGCCTCGTAGAAAGAAACAGAAGGCCCCAGAGAAGTCCCCCGAGTTGGTTGATGGAGATGGGTTCTCATCGACATTGATGTCTCTATTGCGGACCCAGGATTGTCTCGGGAAGGCAAAACTGCTGATATCGACGCATTCTTTGGAGCAACATTTGAGCAAACTGGGGCCAATGGCAAAGTGAAGAAACACCGAAAGTGCAGTGTTTGCCCGTAAGTCTACCTTTGTACTCTCATACTACTCACTCACTCGTTTGTAGGAAAAAATGTGTCCTTGTCAATGAAATCACCACCCTTCGTCGCCACGCTGAGGCCCATTTTTCCGGCAAGTATCGCAAATGGGCAAACCAACATTCATTCGAATCAATGTTACCTGGCGACGTCAAGGCTCGCAAGGAGAACGCTGCGCAGCAGAGGATCAATGCCCATCTCACTGAACACAAGGCCGAACGAGTCGTACCGTATTCTGACAAGTTGTTCAGACAAGCTGCCATTGAATGGCTTGTGGCGACTGATCAGGTATGTCTGCCTTCCTCAGTTCAAAACCACGACTGATGGCTTATTTTTCTAGCCTATACAAGCGCTTGAGCACCCTAAATTTCAAGAGCTGATTCATGTTGCTTCTCGCGCAACCAACGGAGTCAGGATTCCGGGTAGGAAGGGCACTTGTGCCGAAATTATGAGAATGTTTAAAAACCACCTTACAAGGCTAAGGACCACGCTGAACGTGAGTGATGTCTGTTTGATGTCTGTTTGTTGTATTTTGTCTCATTGGGCTTCATAGAGTGCTGCTGTCAAGGGAAACATTAATACCACCTGCGACACATGGCAAGCGGAGAACATCGATGGTTATTTTGCTGTCACGGGGCATTGGATTGAAGAGAAGGTACCCATGCAATGGGAAATTGAAAGCTCACTCCTCGGGTTCACGAAAGTCAACAATGCACATAGCGGCAAGCGGCTGGGCGGGGCCTTATTCAAAATTCTTGATCGTGTTGGGATTGCACAGAAGGTAAATCAGTTTATTTGACTACGACGTCCTACAGCGCTCATATAACTTAGCTTAGGCATGTCACCTGCGACAATGCTGCAAACAATGGGACGACACTACAAGAATTTGCACGCCTATACGAGGCTAAATATAACAAAGTGTTTCCCTGGCGCCAGCGCAAAATCAAGTAAGTCCTGTCATTGTCCGAACTCGCTATGACACTCATTATTTGTGCAGCTGCTTGGCTCATGTCATTAATCTTGCAACACAGAGTCTGATCAGCACGTACAGCAAATCGCTGTATTACAACCCACACGAACCAAAAAGTCATGAACCGACCACTCGGGATGAAATAGCCCTTGTTCGAAGTATTTGTGTCAAGGTATGTTCGTTTTCGTTAGAATCATATGACACTACTAAGATATATTGATGTCCTGCAGGAACGGTCATCCGCGAAGCGAAAGGAAATGTACCGGAGTGTGCAGACCAAAGCAGGAGTGTCTCAACCAACCCAACTGTTGATTGACATGAAAGTTCGTTGGTCCTCGACATATATTATGCTTAATCGTGCCGAGACAAACAAGGAGGTACATATTTCATATTGTCATACTTCTACTCATTGATGCTTATTATCGGCTCTAGCACATTGATACTTTTGTATACGAGATAGGTCGTCAAGAGCGTGACTTGGCAAAACGTGCCAAGATCGACTTTCTTCAACTCTCAGCTGGTGAATGGACACGTGTCGGCCAATTCGCTGATCTTCTTTCAGTACGAGAGTTTCTAATTTATGTGTACTAACTTCTTATGTTAATTTGTTTAGTATTCCGATGTTGCACAGCAAGCATTCTCATCTGAACGTGGCTCGACTCTGCATCTCGCAATCCCAGCGCTTGAAACCCTCTACAGGGCTTGGTCTTCGCGCGCCGAAAGGTCAAAGTATGCATCGTTCGCTACGTCCCTTCAAGCAGCTGCTGCCAAGGTAGACGAGTACTATGAGAAGACAACGCAGTCCCCTGCATATATAATGGCAATCTGTAAGTTGTTATTCATTGTTCAATAATCACTCTAATGCTTGCAAATGTAGTGCTTGATCCAGTAGGGAAAATGACTTATTTCAAGCGCCACTGGCCAGAAAATTTGCATGATGACGTGGTAAGCACTGCGAAGGAAGTGGTGAGTTGAGCTTTTTTTTGGCTTTGCACAATAAGTAGTCTGATTTTGCTGCCAGTTCAAAGCTCGTTATCGTGAGCTGAATGAAGACACTATGTTTTTGTCGTCATCCCAGCCCACATCCAAGAAAAGCAAGGCAGGTGGTCTCAAGTCACTCATCCGCGAAGTCATCAGCGATTCGGAGGACGACTTACTTATGAACCCCACCCCTACTTCCATTGGCGATCCATCACGGCCATGGAGGGCTGAATTTATGAGCTATTTGGAGACTGTTGAGGCAGCTCTACCAGCAGGTGTATCTGCTATTCATTGGTGGGGGGTACGTTCTATGGCTTGCGCTACTTGGAAAATTCGCACTGATGTCAATTTTGCTCAAGATAAATGCACCAAGATATCCAGTATGGGCCTCGCTCGCACAAGATTACCTATCCATCATGTTGTCATCAGTCTCAAGCGAGCGTGCATTCTCGCAAGGTGGCATAACCATCAGTAAACGACGGAACCGGCTTAAAGGAGACATTGTTGAAGCTCTCCAATGTCTCAAATGTGCGATACGACACGACCTTATCTTTCGCGAGCCTGGACCATCCTCTCTTGTGGAGTCGGAGGAATTTGACGACTCTGAATTGGAAGCTGACAGTGAGGAGAGGACCGGAGATGTTATTGCAGACGAGGAGGATGCTTGGGATGCTTTGATTTCAGATGATGACGAGGTTTCTGAGTAGCGTTACTTCATGTATTTTCTTGTGCTACTATACTACGAATCTACAACTTTGCATACCACCAAGCCGCGGCCTAGTACGGCTCAAGCCACGGCTTTGGGCTGGCTTGGGCTCACGGCCTAGGCTTGAAATATGGCAAGCCTAAGCCCCCCCAGGCCAAGCCTAAGCCGGGGCTTTGAGCCCAAGCCGGGCCGGAATGTCACTAGGCTATACAGGAGATGTCCTAGTTCTGTATTCTGCTGCTTGGATACTCTCCATTGTGTGGGAGGTCCTCACACTATGTCTCGCAGTCTGGATTGCGGTAAAACACTTCCGTGAACTGCGATTACATGCGGCAGGAGGGATTATCGGGGACTGTTTTACTGTGTTGATGAAAACTCATGTGGTTTACTTTGCGAGGTAAGTTCATATCGTGATTATTGTCCTTTTTTCCACTGAAGGGTCGGACATGATAGCTTTGTTGCTGTCTCTTGCTTCGAGCTCATTATTGATTTCTCTCCAACATTTTTAACGGTATGTCAATCTTTCACTTACCTCTACATGTGACCACGATCTATCATTTCTATAGAGCCAATATCTCCTAGAAGATCAGACTTTCTCTGGCTTGTTTCAGATTTTAGAGGTCGTGCAGATGTTCGTGCTAGGACCACGGCTGATCCTTGGTGTTCGAGAATATCATGCCAAACTTGTGGCTGACTCCGATGCAGCAACCGGCATGACCTCAATCGCGTTCCAAGAGCGTGTGCATATATCGACTAGCAGTAGTGTGTAATGCTCGGTAAAGTTAGCGCGAACGGTTGTCTAGTGCTCGCAGGGAGCACGGGAAATTTGTTTTTTTTTGTTTCTATTCCAAGCCTCGTTGCGGTGCTCAAGTAGTTATTTAGTCTCACAAAAAAGATCTCAAGGAGATATAGGTTTAGGTGATATTTTCGTTGCAGTATTTATTTGATTCATTTGCTATAGGTCTTGACATTGACAATGTTTCAACCGACGTCCTGGATATCTCTACTGTACCAACGAAGGAAAGCAGTGTACAGAACAGGGAAGTCGAGGAGCGAGAGATGTTTATAGGCGATGTTACCGGAACGTTAGATGCAAGTTTCTGTTTGCTCCTGCTTCTCATCTTCGAGAACAACTCGTGCATGAAGCGCTCATCTACGGAAATATTACGTCTGTGGCTCATCAATATTTCGGCCGTTTTCCGTCGATACGGTGAGGGCCGGTTCTCACTGGGCGTAAGCATTGGATACTTTCGTATTACATAATAATATTGTGCCGATATCATGGCAACTTGAACTTGCAAACTCATCAGTGCTAGTGAATATTGACTTCAACCGTCTGTGATTCTGTCTCTTTGCAACGCTCCAGTCTTTGTAATTTTTCAAATTTCTCCCTTCATGCTATTTGCGTGCTGTTGCATAGTAAAGAACAACTATTCTAAGTGAACCGTCGACCATTCCCGTCCCACTGCTCGTCACCTACCCCATCAACGATTTCTTTCGCATCTTCGCGCAACTACCTCCCAGGCTCAAACTGCGAAGGAGTAGATGTCGTGGAGTTGATGGAACGACGAGAAAAGTAAGACACACCATCAACCTTTGAAGGAATTGAGTCGCTCATGCTTGGTATGAACAATGGTTGTAACCCATAACCCCATCATGATCATTCAGTGAGTCTGCAGTGAGTGCAGTTCGAACAATACATCTTCTACAATATTATCACGTTCAAATTTAACCTCAGATGCTCATCTTAGCTGTGAGCTATCCAATGTTAGCGCGTATGGCCAGGTCAGCACCTCTTCGAGATTGAAATTGCCAGCACGAGGACTGTCACTCTATCGACGCCGACCCTCTCTGGACGTTGAGTGAACGAGTAAAAGTGGGTGAAAAAGTGGGCTTTTGATCTTATCAACGTTTCGTAGCTAATACGCCTTTGATCTATCGCTGGCAGGTCCGACCCATGGTGCTCTGTTTACTCCAAGCCAGATACCTCGTACACTCGTATCATGTCCTCCTTCCACTCAATATCGCCTCTATCTGTTTCTCGATCAGCAGTGTCCCACAAATTGTTCAATCAGCACCAAAGGCAAAGTGGAAACACTCCCTAGTGTGTCGCTACATGCAAATCGACTTGCAAGGGGATATCCTAGGTGATGCATATTCCACCAGCGCAAAGAGCGAATTTATTGCAGCAGTCACTAACGGCTTCGCAAGGCTGGTCACGTTTGGCTGCAGATTGGTCCCCTTACTGCGACACACATTGTCGATGACGTCAACGCAATGTGAGGAAAAAGAAACGCATTGTTCGTTTGAGGTGATATGATTTGCTGAGGGCTCGAACAATGTTTTTGAGGTGGGTAGATGCTGATGACGGTAGGAAAATGGCTTGCTTTTATTTTATCACGAAAACGTTTAGCGAAATGGTTATAGCAGCTAGCCATTTTGAAGTGCCTGCCTCGGTTGTGATGCTGGTGTGATATTCACGCCAAGACCAAACAGTACGCAGAAACCTCATACACTCATATCGTGTACTCCTTTCACCCAATATCCCCTCTATTCATTTCTCAATCCCCAGCGTCCTACATGTTCATATTGCTCAACAACTGCGCCAATGAAAATGCGGAAACACTCACTAGTGTGTCGCTACGTGAAAATCGGCCCGTTCTCAAATTGGAGGGGGCTCGTCGGTAGGCACGCACACGGCATCATCACAGGTGTCATTGCCGTTGCAACAGTCACTATTGTGCCATTGACATTCATCCTCAGCTGGATTACAGGTTGGTCGCCTTGCTGTGACAGACAATATAGATGCTGTCAACGCAAGAATGGAGGTCAGGAAGAAGAAGCGCATTGTTTGTTTGAGGTGGTATAGTTGAGGTGCTCGAATGATTCTTTTGAGGTGGGTGGATGCTGGTGACGGTAGCAAAATGACTTGCTTTTATATGATCACGAACAGGTTTTGCAAAATGGTTATGCTTGGCGGATGATACTGCAGCAGAACCTATCCCTTTCGGTCATCTTGTGGGTCCTGCGGTCCGCCTTAGTCGTGATGGACCGGTGACGCGGCTATGACGAGGCAAGAGATGCCACGTCAAAGCTGCTGATAGCCGGCCTACATTAATTCCTGACTCCATCCCAGTGTTGTTGGCAGAACTCCAGGATATCTAAGACTTGCAGAGATGTAATTTAGATCTTTTGACACAGTTTGAATTCAATAGGATATGAATACGTCCCTAAAATAAGATGGTGCATGTCAGGCTGGACGACGCCCCCTTGCATTGTTGTTTCAACCAATTCCGAAATTCACCCACTCAAGGTGTGCCATGACGATACTCTCAATTATAGGGCATGCAGGCGAAGTAAAGCTCACATCCCCTGATCTCAGCACTATACAATCCGCGCGACAGTGAAATATCTTAGTTGACACATTTGAACCACTCAGCAAAATTCGTTCAAACCCTCGATAACACGACATCATATCTGGCGTTAATTACGATGGATGAGGTCAAAGCAACATCATGAATCATTAGGAATATCCGAGTCGTACACATCATTCTAGTTTGACCGTGACACGGCCGAAGTTCTTAACCTTGCTCAGCAAGCGACAAATTTTGCTACGGGGTTGGCCTAAAGAAAGGATGGATCGTCATTGTGTTTCAACCTCATGAATATCAACCACTTACCTGGCGCTCAGGCTCAGCAGTATTTGTTTCGTTGGGTGTCTCGATGTCTGGAGGAGGAACTGACCTCAACTCAGAGTTCCCCGATTGACCGGGGTTGTTCATGGCGAATAGTTGAGGTTAATGATCAAAGTAAAACAAGAAGTTGGATAAAGGGTGCCGGTGGGCCTCGAGGCAATGTTTGCTGCTTCAAGTGCTAAGCATTGGTGGGCGCCACTGTGACGGAACTCCAGGAAACGCAAGGAAGAATGAATCGAAGATTTATTGATCGGGCTATATATAGCCACGTATACTCGAATACCGTACCAATCGACTGGACATGAGCTCACATTATCGCAGGATGTCTGAGTATAATCATCCGGTTATAACCTGCTGATGGAGAATGGTCTAGAGGTACCTAGGGATTAATGTGCAGTACTATCATTGAGCCAATATTGCGAAGAAAAGAAAAGAAAGACCTACGTGTGGAAAGACGAGACTCGTGGTTCTAAACAAGAAGGATTGCTTTCCTATTGGAAAAGGAAGAAATAACTCACAGAGATAAGGGAGGGAAGCAAGCCGAATTGCAGTACTGTAAAGGGTAGACCTCAGCGGGAGAGGTAGTATGTGAGATACAAACGATGTCTCTGCTAGCAACACACAACCGCAGACATGAGGTATCCAGGAGTTTGCAGAGATAACGAAGGACATTAAGTTGTTGCGACCCTTCGAATTTGGAGGTATCAGTAGTTGCAGGAAAGCTCAGGTTATTGTGAGGTGCTTCCGAGGAAGAGCTTGAGAGGGATACTGGTGCTTCCCACGACATCAGACCCTCGAATTCACATTTACCTGTTGCTGCTCTTATAAACTTCGTCTTACCCAACTTTTCAAAGCTTAGCACACGCCATCAAACGCAAAAACAACTGCAATGCAGGGCGTTGCGACACAGTCCTCGCTGGACAACGCCAGGAAGACCTGTGCGAAATGCTTAAGCGGTCACTAGAAGTAGATGAGTGAGCGGCGAGGGCAGAAGAATAGAGCAGTTGAGACTCCACGTGAAGGAGGGTGACGGGGATACTTTACCATCTGGGGCAAAACGGCCCAACCAAGTGTCATGGTAAGCCTCCCCCCATATTATGTTCCTTGATGAAGGGTCGTCTCTCGTATTGCTTTTTGCTTTGTGCTTCCTAGACGCTCGTCCATCTCCTCATTTCCGGCATGTGTTCTTAAAGTTTTGCATTTCCTTCCGCGCCTCAAATCTCGATATCCTTGCACCCATCATTCTCATGGTGCTACTAGCTCGTTGTTACCGCACACATGTAGTGTACGCAATGAACCACGTTCCTTTCCATCGACCCAGTTCTCTCAACGTTTAACCTGTGTGTGTTAACGGCAAACGAAACCAGACGACCCCAACTACTTCAACTGCCGCCGCCGCAATCTTCTTCAGTTTCTTGAGTTCACTTTGGGAGGCGCCTTGAACACACTCTTGTCTATTGTGTAATTTCGCCCAACCACCTCTCAGATAACTTTATTCGTTGCTCGAAGATCATTCCATGCTCTCAAAAATTTTGTTACGGTGTTCGCTCAAACTACTCCAAACTTGAATGTAATACTACATATATAATAGACAACGGATTAAATGTACACTCCATATCGTACTCGACAAATCTCTACAAATCAATTTACAGGAACGAGATCATCGCAATCAAGAGCTACAAGAATCGAATTGATTAACTGCGAGGAACAGAAAAAACGGCAGACTCACTTCATGCAGCAGTGCCGCCAGCGTGAGCCATGTGCCATGCAACTCAAGTCAAGCTCAACACCTCTGGGTATCACAAATGCAGTCCGAGGCCTATAAAATGGTTTACGAGAAGCCGGTGGTATCCAGAATAAGAGCCAGCGATTAGGTCCCACCATCCATCCATCTTCCTCCAGAGAATTGAACGTCCATCACAAAAATTGCTCAAGTGAGATGTTACCCGATTTAGATTGCTGTGCGCCACAGCGCTTGACAGGCCATGTCGCTGACGTCGCGACTCGATATAGACACGACACAATGACGTGCGTCTGCACTCCAAACAACTCGTGTGATGTCATCAACGCCCCGGATGATACCTTCCCCCTCAGCATATTGTCACACTGACAATGAGTAGATAGTTGTTGTATCTACACGATACATACCAGACACTGCAATGTATTTTGTATATAGAGATGAGTACACAAATTGAAAAGTACGAATCCTCAGACTAGAATGGTGCACCAGAGTGCAGCGCAAATGTAATCAATTGACAATCAGAGAGCTCCGTAACCTTCTTCTGCAAGAATATCATCATCAAGCTCTTCACCCTCGTCAGCCAAAACACGATCCTCATCACCCTCATCGTTCCCATCCTCGCCATTCCCATCCTCGCCGTTCCCATCATCGTTGTTCCCATCATCCTCGTCATCCCATATATCACCCTCTTCTGAATCATCCTCCCCAACATCAATGTCTGAGTCTCCCTCATCACAGGTTCGTGTCATATTGATGCATTAAACAGTACAACTGTAGCGCACCAATGATGCATCATTGGTGCAATTCTACCTTTGCTTTTCTCACGCTGATGCATCAGCCCACTCCAGGTTGATGCATGCCCACCACCATCCCCTCCGTTCACCGATGCATCCTTTTTGTTTTCTGATGCATCCCCTCCATTCGCTGATGCATCCTTTTCGTTTTCTGTGATGCATCAGTCCTTTCTTCGCTGATGCATCCTTTTCGTTTTCTGATGCATCAGTCCTCACTTTGTCACGCCCTCCCGCCGTCTTGTGCCCACTGTCCTCCCGCACACGACCTCACTTTCTCGCGCCCTCCCGCTGTTTTGCATGTGCTATCACACCCACCTGTCGTTACTCGTGCCCTCCCACTGTTTCGCGTGTGCTATCACACCCACCTGTCGTTACTCACGCCACACCCACCTGTTGTTACTTGCGCCCTCCCACTGTCCTCCCGCTATCACACCCACCTGTCGTTACTCGTGCCCTCCCACTGTTTCGTGTGTGCTATCACACCCACCTGTCGTTACTCGCGCCACACCCACCTGTCGTTACTCGCGCCCTCCCACTGTCCTCCCGCACATGACCTCACTTTCTCGCGCCCTCCCGCTGTTTCACGTGTGCTATCACACCCACCTGTCGTTACTCGCGCCCTCCTGCTGTTTCGTGTGTGCTATCACACCCACCTGCCATTACTCGCGCCCTCCCGCTGTTTCGCGTGTGCTATCACACCCGCCTGTTGTTACACGTGTATTGCGTTTATTATTTATCTACTTGTGCTCACTTTCTCGCGCCCTCCCGCTGTTTCGCATGTGCCTGTCGTTACACATGTATTGCCTTTATTGTTTATCTACTAATATTACAACAAAGGTCTACTATGTGTCCATGTCCATGTCTTGCTGAGCAACGAGCGAGTTGTGATCAAATGTGTCCACCAGTGCCAAGGTGTCGGTCCAGCTGGTCTTGAAGGACTCAGCAAGCATTCGACGTAAGGAAGCTTGACGTTTGGCGTATGCCATACGGCCCTCGCGTTCATCTTCACCTGCATCCTCTAACGTGTTTTCCAGGCCCCGCTCATCCCAGCGCTGCGCGTCCCATTCCAAAAATTGCAGAATCCTTCGCATCTCCTCCTTCAACAATTCCACCTCTTCTGTCCAGCGCATCGCCCGTGCCCTGGCTTTGCACCATTCTATTCGCATGTCTGCTTGTCCGTGAGTCTGACTAGGAAGCCATGAAATGAAGAGCCACCTACCTTCCGAGGCATTGTCCTTGTCGATCTTGTTGGCAGCTGCTCCCCGCATATTCCAAATCCACGACAACTTTCTCGTTCCCTCTGTTTCTCCCCATAATAAGTCCGTCATCGAGCGGACGTCAGCTCGGTCTAGCGGTCGCAGTGATGAGTGCCACCCAGTCTGATTCACTCGCGGTGAAAGAACCACAAGGGCTTTATGCGCATACTCATAAGTCCTGGCAGCAGCCTCAATCCTCGCCTCAACAGCTTTCAATGTATTCCGTGCCCTTGTGTTTGCTCCTTGTCCACGGAGGTTGCGGTCCTTGTACTTGAGGATTGCAGTCTGAGCATGTAAGTTTGAACGCAGAGAGCGAAGTGCATCGTGACCTTGTGCATACCGCAGCTTCCATTCGATGGCCTGGAGGCGGCTGTTGCAAGGTGCGGTCCTGCTGATCTGGGATGGCAGCCAGAGCTTGATTGCTTCTGGTGCAGCAGTCACGCTGCCAGATACTGAACTCTCGCTCACACGTAGTGCAGCAAGTGACGGCATGTATAGTTCCTGCATCTTCATCCAGGTATCAATCCTCCGTCGGAGAGTGTTGCTTTGCTGAACCATCTTCCCTTCTTGATTATCTGTTGCGTGAACTCCGAGGCCAGCTCTGTTTGCTTTCATTCGCCGTCTATTGAAGTAAGAACAATGTCATAAAAGTAACAGTACACTCACTGTTGTTCCTCAAGTTCTAAGCCAGTACTAATTAATATGCTAGGCGTGCAATCCTCATGTAGGGCAAGGCAAGTTCCTGTTTGAAGGTCGATCTCGTCCTCCCTAGCCAGTTCTAGTCGTACCGAAGCCATAGTGACAGCTGCAATGTGTCAAGATCAAAATGAGCACATAAGCATTACCATCACTGTCTCGTGCTTACTTTCTGCCTTTCGTTCGAAAGGATTAGGCTGTGTAGAGTCGTACTCCCAAGCCTCCACTTGTTCTCTCCATTGTTCGAGGGCGGCGCCATATTCGCCTCGCAAACCATCATTGAGGTCCTCAAAGGCTTCACGATGGTTCTCGCGCTCTGGGAATGCATTTTTTATCTTGTGAAGCATAGTATGACCTGAAAAATCTAAGTTGCCATTTTTTTTCACGAAAATCAACGCACCAAGTCTAACAACCTTTTTCCAATTTGAGTCTCCGAAGTAGTCATCAAGGGTGTCTCGCCGTGCGCCAGGCCCCATTTCTTTGGTGCTTGAAGCGACGGGGTTGATGTTGGCCCAGCCACGTTCTGGTGCTTCTCCGTCAGTCCTGCCTACCCCGTTCTTGAAATTGAATGAAAATGATGTTTGGCACTGCTCAATATGAGCGGGAAGGTGGAACTTCAGCACGAAAAATGAGATTGTCTTGACGGCATGCGAGAGATGCATCGAAATCGGAAAGGCACTCATGCGGTGCCATAATTTTTTGTGCCACTGGCATGCGATGTCGTAGGATACATTGAGAGTGTCGAGTACAGTATGACGTAGTGCTGAGAAAAACAAGTAGTCCATGTTAATATATCTACATGCGTGCGTTAGATCGCCAACTGCTGGATGCAAATGACAATTTACCTTTCACCCTTTTGAAGATCCCCAACGGCATTGGGCAGTTTCATGTTATGGCGGGCACAGTCGACAGTACCTAAACCAGTGGTAGCGAGTCCGCGGTTAGATTTCGTATCAGCCATGTTTACAGCATTGTGACTTGAACACGTTGATTTCTGCAAATCTAACCATTAATATATGAAAAAGAATAATTCAAACCACGAACCTCCTGGACGCTGTCCGCACTGCTGTGCAAGAAATCTTTATATGCTTTATCCTTGACAAAATATCCCCAGCCTCGACTCAGGCTTGGGTCAACACTGTCACTTGAAACAGCTTTGCGTTTTAAGCGGAAGTTCGCATCTATAGCAAGGAATAATCCATATAGCCACCTAACAGTACCTATATCAGTAGAAATTCCCCTCCAGACTGGAGCTTGCTTTAAACTTACTGTTGAGGAGCATCTTTCCAACCGGCTGGGAGATTCTTCCCTGGGTGTGGGCATGCCGGGCACAATACAGTACATTCGCCCTCAACCGTCCCATCTACACCACTGGGATCGTGACCTCGCCCTGAGCGCTTAAGCATCTTCAAGTGGCGCCACTCGCGTATCATCCGTGTAAACGAATCATACCGATCCTGGAGGAAGCTGGATTAACTTTGAAGGCACCTAAAAATTAAGTTTACCTTGATGGGAAGTAAGCCAGTGTTATCGGACATCCGGCTGAGCGCATTGTAAAATTCGAAGGCAGATACTTTTGACTCAAATGAGAGTAGGTGATAGTGTTCAAGAACGTGGAATGTCGCAGCAGTTTTTGGATCTGACGTTGTCGAAGGAAACCACGATATTTGAAGTAGCTGTTGTATATGGCTTTGGGCTGTTGCGCAATTGCAGAAGTCGAGAGATACTTCATGTATGCCGTGGGTGTCGACAACAATAAAATCATCATTGAATGCGCGACGAGGGTTAGGACATTTCAGGCCAGTGGTGTGGCCAAGCTGGATGCGAAGGCCCAGGGTTTTCAGAGAGATTCGCTCGAAGTATTGACCGTTCCATTTCTGTATTGATATTAGATATTAGCCTTACATCCTCATCTCCCAATCAGACATGAAAGCATACCTCCAATCGGTGAAGCGGGTGGCGCACATGAGCCAACAGGATGCAAGGTGAACAATAGATCTCTGACCCTAAGCAGTCCCGACACCTATACTCTGGGCTGGGACAATTACACTCCGAGCAAGATTGAGCACCAAGTCTATTACATCTTCCTTCAAGACGGATCATTTCGTGCAGAAATAATTCTCGGTGCTTCAACCACATCAACAAAGGATGATCCTGAATAACGGTGAGCGACATGTCAAAGGACTCAGAACATTATAGTGTACATATGCCTGCTGCTCGTTGTCTCCTTTGCTGCCCTAAAAAGTCCAATGATACATCAAGCGGTGTCTTGTTACTTAAGGGTCTTATATAAAAGTTGTGTATAATGACAACACAATTATACACAGGGAAGACTTCTTGCCAGTCCTTAAGTCCACGGTCTCCGACTTTTCTACTTCGTGGGAGGTAACGTGGTGAGTTCTTGGGAGGATTTAGTTTGTTGTCCTCTTCTTGTATAGTCTGATACAAAGTGTTGTGGAATGTTCTGTGTTCTGGATAAATTCGTTAGGTTTGTTTCAGCCTAGTAGGTCGTGTTTCAACCTATGAAAGTCTGTTTCAACTTTGTCGTCCTTAGATATGTGTCTCACTTTCCGTTGAAAGAGAGAGTCTTATGTATACACGTAAAGCTTAGAATGAGAGCTGTTCGATGGTTATATAGTCAACCCCTGTAAGGTAGTGTATAACCTAGAGTAGAATAATGATAACGAAAGTTATATAGTCAACCCCTGTAAGGTAGTATATAACTTTAGAATAGAATAACGATGTGTCTTAGTCTTACTTCAAGGCACGTTGCCTGCACTTTTATTCTTACGTACTCTCACACGGTTTGAGAGAAGAATGAAAAATGGGAAGTTATATTTTATGGGTGAAAATGGGGTCCTTTTATACCTTTTGGGAACCCCCTTACTAAGCATGATTTATCAGATGGATTGGTAAGAATGTGGCTTACAAACCAGATGATGAATCAGCTTATTACTAAGTACATTACAAATACAGTGTAATCTTACAAAGAATTTACAAAGC